AGTAACGAGTAACGTTTGTTTTAAAAATGTAAGGAATAGAAAGGACAGATACTTGTGTGAAAATGTGATGAGTAGAAGTCAGAAGTAGGAAGAAAAATAAGAAAAGGAGTAAAGCATAGATACCTAAAAAGTGTACTTAAGTGTACTTGACACCTCTAATGCTGTGTGAGTATGAAATGCTTCCTTAATTGGGGGGTTTCTGTAGGAAGCTTCAGGATACTCACCACACTGGGCGCAGACAGGCAGCTTCTGTACAGAGTTACAGAAATAGCAGAATGCTCTGTTCTTCTGCTTTCTATCAGAAAATCAACAGAAACAATTTAATTTCTACACATCACCTCAGTGTGTATGAGGAGAGTCTACTTCAAGAACACATTTGCTTACCTCTGACATTTGTCACAATCCTGCAGAAGCACAACAGAGGATTATTATGTCGCACTGACAGTGTTGGTGCTGAATCCAGCAGCTAAATGTTACTGACCATGTTGACGTTGCAGGGGTGTTTGGCCACATCCACGTGCTCCCTGTTGGCCCGGTTCTGTTTCTCTCGCTCTTTTCGGTTCTCCGCCTTTTTTCTGGCTCCGGTTTTCTTTTTGGGCATCTTTCTTTTTTATCTTTCGCCTCCTGGGAAACAAACCGGTTAAAAACAGTTTCGGTCACGATTTTCATATTACAGAACAGTCGGCATCGTGACGTTTTCTACCCTTTATGAGGATAAACCGTTTGGTCATGGATAACTTTGACAGGAGCTGGAAAGTTTATAGAGATATTCGCTTAAAAATAGAAAGGAATGAGCCCACATTAGACTATGATCCGTTTGCTTTAATATTTACGCTCATAGAACCCGAACCAGGCAGATTAAGTCAAAGTTTTATTTCAAATGTCAAATATCAAAATGTTTCTTACCTTTCCCTGCGAATAAAACGGTCCTTGTCCGTCCCTAAATGGTGTCCGTGGAAAAGCAATACTAAAATTGGGTTCCGGAAGTGGGAAGTTGTTCCTGGTTTCATTAGCGCCACCAGCTGGTATGGAGTGTAGATGGAAATGAGAACAACACACACGCCAGCTTTGTATTTGTGATTTATGGGGAGAATTATTTGACTTCCATTCATTTCCATTCATTTTCCTACTCGAAATTAATGTAAAATTTACTCTATAGCCAGTGCCAAATTCTTTGTTAATTTAACAAATTTTGGTTTATAAAAAGACCTCTCACAGACACTTTGGTAATCAACACCATATAGTGTTAAAGTTCCACTGCATGGCTATCACATTTTTCACTGACTATTACAATTTTTCTCAATTGTTTAGACACAAACTCTAGTACTTGAGAGACAATGACTACAACAAGTAACTCATTCACCAAACCCCTAAATAAAAAAAACAAAAAAACAACAACAATCCACTGGACGTTGTTTCCAAGACGTTTCGCTTCCCATCCAGGAAGCTTTTTTAATTCAGAAAGTCAGAAATAGCGTTGACTTTTACGCTTTATAGAGTGGACAAAAAAACAAAGCCTTGTTTTGGCTTAAAAAAACATGCAAATTGAAGCGGACGAACAGGTCGTTCCCTTTGGAATGGGCAGTCGTTTCGATTAGAAAATCTGGTCCTGATGGCTCCCAGGCTCCACGTTGGTTGCATGGTAATAGTTATTCCAAAAAATGTAAAACAATCCACTGGACTTGGTTTCCGAGTTTGAAGACGTTTCTCTTCCCATCCAGGAAGCTTTTTCAACTCCAAATGTCAGCAACAGCGGTGGCCCCCCACTCGCCAGTGTGAATTGTAGTAGCATAATTTTATCATTTCATCCCATTATACACAGCCAGCGACATAACATTAAAAAACACACAATAAACCAAGATATGAGTAGGTCTTTACTTAAGTCTGTATGATTTCTACAGGCAGGTTAACCACAAAACCAGATTCAACCCTGAAATTCTGGCTTTTAGTTTCAGTGTACCGCCCCCAAGATTTTTAGTGGTCCCATCTGGCCGCCCCTATGAAACATTTCTGGAGGCGCCACTGTCCACATCACATGCAATGTCCTCTTGTCCAAGGCACCGGGGAAAATATCTCCTGCACAATAACCCCACATGCCGCCTCCATTGCCTGTAATAGGGCTATGCATTGAAGGTGTTTACGGTCATAGACCTTCCAGCGCCAGAGAAGAACACCCCAGTCAGATTAAAGAATGGAGAGGAAGGTTGAGTGCAGCGAAGAGCGGGGGATCTGTGAACCAGTTGCAGACCAAAGCGGTCCTGTGGCTTATTTATAGTGCTTGGGCTGATTGCAAACTGAACTAATTATCTAAAACAGTTTTCACATGTGACAGTGTGCCAGACAGTTGGCAACATGTAAATAATATCCATATATGTGTACAGTGTTGTTAGGGGTGAGCTGATTATTTGGAAATTGGGTGTAAAGCGGCAAGTTGTTTTTACAGTTCCGCAAAAAGAATGGTTTGTAACGACAGTTTTGCAAAGTGTGCGTTACAAAATTGCAAACCGAGTGCAAAGCAGTGTTTGTGTTATTGGTTTTGCAAATTTGAGGAGTGGTTTTGCTATAAGTATTAATTGTTTTAGAATTGGTGAGGTATTCTTTCAGAACATGTCATACAATCAAGAAAAACATTAATTCAACTTAACAGTTGAACAAATTTGCACTTAGTATGGTTGTAAATACTCTATCTAGAGTACAATAGGTTGACTCTGAAATTTTAACATATCACGTATCAGTGACTGAGGATTGGTTTGAGGTTTTGCAGATTGTATGTTGCTGAAAAGTGTTTGTTTGGCCAAAAGGCTGTGATTTCCGACTGTGTGGTTAAAGGAAAAAAAAAAAGTGGTTGCAAGAATGGAGTTTGGTGTTCTAGTGATTGTGAAAAACCATAGTAACAACTAGAAATAAACAACATTTTTTCATTTTGCTTCATATCTTCACACAGCATCTGGCCAGTTTTCTGGCTGGCTCTGCTTTACCATGAGCACAGTGTGTGAGAAACTGTCCTATTTTTTATTTTTTTAAGTAAACCAGGGCAGATCTGGGTGTGATGCAGGAGCAGCCTTGCGTCTTTGGTGTGTTAAAACAGACTGAGGTTCGGAGCAAGAAATTAACCGGAGGGTTAACCAAAGTCCAGATTCACTCTGATTTGATTAGATTGTTGTTGTTTTTCATGGGGGTTAAACTGGGTATTGATCAAATAAATGTTAAATGTCCTTTTCTTTACATCATCCTTATTCTGGTTTTTGCTCTTGTGCCATCATTTCTACAGTTTGATTATCAGCGGCTTTGAAGACAACACTGCGAAATACAAAAAAAAAAGATGCAGATTCCCCCCCCTCTGTGGATCAAACAGTTTAGCCCCTTTTCTGCTTATTTGTAAAAACAATAGGAAAATATTTCTTCTTCTTCTACTACTTGTTCTGAAACCTGAGTCGTTCAGAGTCAACATAATCAATACCAAACTAAAAAGTGAAATAAAAAAAATCTCAAAATCTCCCAAAATTCTATTTCAGCTTTTTTTTTTTTTTTGCAGATCTCTGGTATTCTTATTGCTAATTTATTTTAAACTTTTCTGCCCAGAATCAACACACAAATAGGCCGCAGTTATTTGTTGTATTTTATGAAAATTGCCTTAAATCACTTTTATTCAAAAAATTTAGTTATAAAAACAAAAAAGGAGAAATGCAACAAGAAAAAGCTATTTTTTTATATATATATATATATATATATATATATATATATATATATATATATATATATATATATATATATATATATATATATATATATATATATATATATATATATATATAAAATAATAATAACAAAAGCAAATTCAAATGCATCTGAAAGCAGCATTTCTTTAATGGCCCACAGCTCCAGAACAGCTGAATTTTCCTCCTCATAAACGGAACCACAGCAAATTAATGCTGGTTAATCATAAAAGGGTCTGGTTTTCCTTTGATCTTTTGCACATAAACACGAGGCGCCGGCGGCACCTTGGCCCAGGTCACGTGTTAAGGATCAGCCAGCCGTTCGGTGGGAATTCTGCTTCTGATTCAAGAGCCGGATCGTTTGGTTCAACTGAACTGAATCAGTTCTTTTTCAGCTCTAAGAAAACTTTTCACTGAGGCAGTCTCCATGATGTCAGGGCAGGTTCTAACATAAATAATGGTAACAGGAAAACTTCTTCCCTTCCCATTGTAGTAACACAGTAACAGAAAACTTCAGGTGGATCCTTTTAAATTCAATCATTTTACAAATTAGGCTGAATTAAACTTAAATCCAAGACTTAAAAGCTGATTATCTCAACATACTGGAGTATTTTATTAAAACTAATCCATCCAGATCAAGTCGCCCTAGATAGTTTTGGTCCTTTGGGACAGATGTACAGGGGCGGAGCTAGATGGGGGGCCAGAGGTGGCCATGGCCACCCTTAGCCAATCATTGGTCATCCCTACCATGTTTCCCCCTCTAATACAGACGGTGGCAGCAGTAATACTCTCAAGTGGAGTAATCACAACACTTTAAATTTTTCATATATTAACATTTAGCCTACATGAAAACAAAAACACTGTGGTTAATTATGCACATCCACTATATAGCCTACTATCATTAAAGACAATAAGTACAGAATTCATGCTCTTTTCAGAACTACTTTTTGTGTTATATGGGGTAGAGAGAAAATTATTTCTCTCTGCAAGACATATGGGAGTATTCAGTGAAATAATAGATAACTATTTTAATATCGCCCCAGAACTCAAACTTGAAATATACTATATATATTATCTAGGAAGATGTTTAGATGTATGCATCTAAAATATAGGATGTTTTGTCTTTATTTGGAAAATATGAACGTGGTTTTGCTCTTTAATTTTCATGTTGCAATAGTGTAGATTAACCCTGAGGTTCTGGTGCCTATCCACCAGAACAGAAATGTCTGGCTACGCCTCTGGGAAATGTTTTCTATCTTTGTTCAGATGTTCAGAAGTACCCCCAGGGTGATGGTTTGACTGGATGGAGAGTGAAGGACCCCATGATGGTCCACAGAGCTGCTAATTATGTGATGGAAAGGAGCAGTCCGGTTCCGGTTCTTGTCAGTGATCCAGCTCGTAGAGCCGGCTCGGTCAGCAGAGTCCCTCGGTCCACCTGATGATCCCCCTTCAGCTCAGCTCTCCGTCCATCTGTCCACCAGCCGAACCATGGCTCCGTCCCTCCTCCGGACCTGCTGCGGGTTGATTCCGGTGACCGGGCTGCTGTCCTTCTGGTGCGTCCAGCTGCTCCACCTGGAGCCCGCGGTGGGAGAGAAGGAGGACTGGTTCCCCGCCGCGGTCAACATCACCTACCTGGACCCGGTAAGGCTGCAGGTGCGGGCGGAGAGCTGCGCGTGCGGTCGGTATGGGGAGAACTCGCCCAAGAGAGAAGTCAGAGGTCGGGTTGTGGTCCCCGCCCCCCCGCAGGACAGACAGGGGTGCGACCCGAATGTCCGGTTCCCCCCGGTGCCGAACCCCACCTGGGTGGCTCTGCTGGCTGCAGGGAACTGCTCCTTCAGGGAGAAGATCCGCAACGCAGCCAGGAATAACGCCTCTGGGGTGGTGATCTACAACAGAACCAACCACACCTTCAGCATGAAGCACTCAGGTCAGAGGAACTGGTCTGGGTGGACCAGATCTACTCCATGACAGCAGTGATCCTGCAGGAGGTGATCCAGACCTGGAGGCTGGATCTGAGCAGGGGCGGAGCTAGATGGGGGGCCAGAGGTGGCCATGGCCACCTTTAGCCACTCATTGACCACTCCTACCATTTTCCCCTCTAATACAGATGTTGGCAGCAGTAATACTCTCAAGTGGAATATTCAAAACATTTACATTTTTTCATATATTAACATTTACTTGACAACAAAAACACTGGTTAATTATGCACATCTACTACTATCATTAAAGATGATAAGAACAGAATTCATATTGTTATTTTATATGAGATAAAGAGAAAATGATTTATCTCTGCAAGTCATCTAGGAGTCTTCAGTGAAATCAACTATTTTAATATCGCCCCAGAACTCAAACCTGAAAGAATTGTATTCACTATACATTTTATATAGGAAGATGTTTAAATATATGCATCTAATTTTTAGCAAAAGCTGTAGGAAAGGATATTTTGTTTTTATTTGGAAAATATTGACGTGGTTGTGCTCATTAATTTTCCTGTTGGAACAGTGTAGATTGACCCTGAGGTTCTGGTGCCTACCCCCCCTCAGTGTACATTGGTTATTGCCTGGCCACCCTTATAAAGAATTTCTGGCTACGCCTCTGGATCTGAGGTCTCAGAGTCCTGATTGATTCTGGATGAAGAACATCTCAAGGGCGGTTCTACAAATTGTTCGGGGGGCTGAAACCAGTTCAGGCTCAGTCTCTACTTGTCCCAATGAACAGAGGCGTAGCTAGAAAATCTTTATTAGGGTGGCCAGGTAATAACCATCGTACACTGAGGGGTGGCACCAGGACCTCACGGTCAATTTACACTGTTCCAACAGAAAAATTAATTTTCAAAACATCCATATTTAAACTATACTCTCCTACAGCCTTTGCTAACAAACAGATGCATATATTTAAACATCCGTAATTTCTAAATAAAAGGTATAGTGGATCAAATTCATTCAGTTTTGAGTTTTGGGGTGAAAAATCTTTTCCTATTGTCATTACTTACCTACTATCAGTAAATATTCTGCATAAAATTGCTATTTACAAGCACTAATGTCTACATAAATTGATTATTTGATAAGCTTTTATTAAAATAGACTCCTAGATGACTTGCAGAAACACATTATTTTATCTTTACCACATATAAAACAAAATCTACTTCTGAAAATAGCATGCATTCTGTACTTATCTTTGATGTTAGTATATTGATGTGTATAATTAACTACAAAAAATTTTAATGTTTTGAATATTCCACTTGAGTGTATTACAGCTGCCACCACCTGTATTAGAGGGGAAAATGCTAGGGGTGGCCATGGCCACCCCTAGCCCCCCATAAAGCTCCACCCCTCTCAGTGAACCAGCAACAAAACAACACAATGATCCAAATTAATCGATGAAGAGGAGCAGATTTTCCAATTTAAAAATCAGAGCTGTTTAAACAGTCTATGGTTCAACATGATATATGAAACATGATCTTAAATTATTGCTGGATGTCTGAGAGAAAAACTTTAACCCAGAAAACATAAGAACTATTTAATTCCAGTATATGACTGTGACTATTCTGCTGTGTATTTTCTTCTGTTTTTGAATAAAATACCAACTTTGAAATGTGAGCAGGATATTCTATATGACACACTCTGGTTTATATTCAAACTCTGAAGCCGTAGAGCAGCCAGAAAACATCATACCTCCACCACCGTGCTCAGATATAGGTGGGATATTCTTTGCCCTGCAGGGTTTACAGTAAACACTTCACAAAGAATTTTTCTTTTCTGCTTCAGCTGTTTTTATAATTTCTTAAAAGGTTAAGAGATGTCCACTCAGTCCCACTGCTCAGAGAGAGGGAGAGAAACAAAACAATAACATTTGGAGGTTTTTTTATTCCGATTGTAGACAGAATTTACAAATAAACAACATATAATGTGACCCATATGGACCCATCAGGGCTACGTCTGACTCAAATATGGTTTCCACTCTTGGTCTCTGAGCAAGACCCTTAACCCCACACTGCTAAGGGGGAGGGGTTAAATGCAAAATTTCTCCAATGTGAGATCAATAAAGTTCCATTATAATTAGTATTATTTGGAAAATCTGATGCAAAGATGGATAGAGTTGAGAGTGTGATCTATGGAGTCAGAAAGGGGTCAAAATGATTGTAGATTTGAATGTGATGCCTGGAGTTTCCCTGCTGTGCTCCATGACCCTGTTCTGTCTGCTGTGTGGATCAGGTACAGGTGACATCGTGGCCATCATGATCCCCGCACCTAAAGGTCAGGAACTCCTGACTTTGCTGGAGCGGCGCTTTGTAGTGATGATGCACATCAGTGTGGGAACCCACAACCTGCAGAAACATGTGAGCGCAACCTCTGTGGTTTTCGTCTCCATCTCCTTCATCATCCTCATGATCATCTCACTGGCCTGGCTGCTGTTCTACTACATCCAGAGGTTCCGCTACGCTAACTCAGCAGAACGCAACCAGGTAACGCCAGAAGCTCTGAGCTGCATTCTGTCACTGCTGTTGTCTGATTGGTCCTAGCAATGCTGACCTGAAAGGCTATCAGGAACAATTGGGTTCCTTCATCAAAACGGAAATGCAAACTCGTTACCGTTTTTCGCCGGCCCACTTATGGACCCCCCAGATAAAAATAATAGAAGCACAGTGAAACACGTGCGTGTCAAATGTGAAAGACGAATACACAATCTATTTTCAAGCATCACACGTTCTATTTTAAAACATCCAGACCCGTGAGTGTGTAGAGCTTTCTGCTTTTTATCCCAAATCTTCTCCGCTCCCCCTTTCTTCTTTTTGCTGACTCTTTCCATGATTTTTAGTCCATCCACTGAATTAAAATACAACCGAAGTAACATCCGCAGCATCCGTATTCCCGTTGATCAGCGCCGCTCACCACATCAGCAAGGTTGCCGGAAGTCACTGACTCACGTTTTCCAGCCCAAAAGATGTTTATAACTCGCCTGGATATACAAAATCTCACCCAATTTGAACAAAATTTGATCTCTTAGGCCATAAATCTAAAGAAAAAAAAATGTTTTACCCATAGATGACCATCCTAAACTGTCAGATTGGCAAACATCCCAACCTGGCAACAATGGAGGTAAGGCGGGAAAACGTTAGCCTTTAGATGCAACACCCAATCATGCACCGCAACATATTTTACCAAAATACTCTAACATAAATTCGCCAAATATAAGAGGAACATTGTAGTTTGGTTTAAAGAAAGAATTTTAGTTTTATTATAATTAATTTATTGCAAGGATTTTACAGTTCGAAGAAATAGAAAATTATACCACAAGGATTTGCATGACAAGGAAGGGCTATGTATACTGCATGCATCATTTAGCTCAGGCATCACCAAAGTCGGTCCTCGAGGGCGGCTGTCCTGCAGGTTTTAGAGGTTTCCCTGCTCCACCACAGCTGATTTACATTGATAGTTGATAAACAGGCTTTTGCTGAACTGCAATTATCAGAATCAGCTGTGCTGAAGCAGAGAAACCTCTAAAACCTACAGGACAGCGGCCCTCAAGGACCGACTTTGGGGATGCCTGATTTAGGTAGTTAGAATTTTGAGCTCCTTCAGGTGTTAACTGTCACAGGTAGGTGCTTCGGGCCGGTACGATTTAAGGAGGGCCGACACTCGCAAGCTGAAATTAGGACCAGAATTAGAATCAGAATCAGAATTCTTTATTGTCATTGCTCCACAGGGGTGCAACGAAATTACTTGAAAAAGAAAAAAACACAGTACAAGCAATCAGTGCAAATTTAAAAATATAAAATAAAAAAATAAAATTAAATAAATAAATACGAAAAAAGTTTAAAAAGGGATACTGCGGGCTCTCCTGAGGTAGCGGGTACAGGTTATTGCACGTGAGGTAGCATTATTGATAGTTACCGTTGTTAAATTGTACGTGAGGCGTTCAGGGCAACAACAGCTCTACGAAAGAAGCTGTTTCTCAGTCTGGTTGTTTTAGTTCTTATTGCCCTGAAACGTCTCCCAGATGGGAGCAGTTCAAAGAGATGGTGACCGGGGTGTGAGGGGTCCCTGATGATGCTGCGGGCTCTCCTGAGGCAGCGGGTGGAGTAAATCTCCTCCAAGGAGGGGAGAGGGCAGCCAGTCAGTCTTTGGGCGGTGTTGATGACCCGTTGGAGCAGCTTCTTCTCTGCTGCAGTGCAGCTGGAGAACCACAGCGAGATGCCGCAGCTCAGCACCGACTCCACCGTGCAGCGATAGAAGGTCCGCAGCAGCTCTGGTCGTAGTTTGTTCTTCCTGAGAGATCCTGAGAGAGTTCTTCCGGCCCACAGATTACCAGTCCAAGCCTGCCTCCACATGACAGAAACATCTGCTGTACACCTGTGCTGTTAATACATGCAGATAATGAAGCTCTAAATCTTTATGTAGCGTTTCTGCTGAGGGGGGAAAAAAAACTTTGGTCGGTCTCTCAGCTCCTCCTAAACTGTCAGGTTTGGTGATCAGATTCATTTTCCTGTCATGACTGATCAGAAAACAATCAAAGAGCGGATCATCTCCAATATTTGGGGTCTTCCTCTGGATCTTCACTCCTTTCTTATGAGGTCATGTTTGTCTGTATTTGCTGCTGGGTGATGTCTGGGGCCAAGCTGAGGATGCGCATGAGTAACACTGCAAAAAATCTAAATCTAAGTCATTTTTCTTAAAATAAGTGCATTTGTTCTTGAATTGAGGAGACAAAAGAGACATTTTGCCAATGGAACAAGACAATTTACACTTAAAATAAGAAAACACAATTGGGTTGTCTTATTTCAAGTGCATATTATCTAAGTATCTTATTTTAAGACTACAATTACTCATTCCATTGGCAAACTATCTCATTTACCTGCTCAAATTAAGGGTGAATACACTTAATTTAAGAAATTTTTACTTATTTCTAGATCGTTTTTGCAGTGTAAAATAGATTTGACAGTCATCTGCATAGAAGAGCAGTAAAATCCTGCGGCATCGTAAATTTAAATGCCTCCACAGAAGTCCTCCCCTTTGTGCTCACAGCCTCGAGCACATTAGCAGAGAAACCTGTTCCATCCTCCTTCGTTATGTCGTCTCCTGACTTTAGTTCAAAGCCTCAAAGAGGCTCAAAATGGTGACCTCTGAGTCTCAGTCGAACTTCCAAACTAAAGAGTGCCTATGCTCATTCAAGCTGCATTCAGATACTTTTCTGTTTTCTGTTTCTAAAAATAAAAGCAGCTGACTAAAAGTCATTTTGTCTCGTTTTGCCATGCACTGCAAAAACGATCTAGAAATAAGTAAAACATTTCTTAAATTGAGTGTATTCACCCTTAATTTGAGCAGGTAAATGAGAAAGTTTGCCAATGGAATGAGTAATTTTACTCTTAAAATAAGATAATTAGATAATATGCACTTGAAATAAGACAACCCAATTGTGTTTTCTTATTTTAAGTGTAAATTGTCTTGTTCCATTGGCAAAATGTCTCTTTTGTCTCCTCAATTCAAGAACAAATGCACTTATTTTAAGAAAAAATGACTTATCTAGATTCAGATTTTTTGCAGTGCAGAAGTGTGCCGTTAAAGTCCTGGTTTGTTTTTCTAGTTTATACTTTCAGCACAAATGCAGCTATTTTTCAAGGCAACAAACATAACGAGCAGAGAAGAAGCAGCTCTCTGTGAAAATGTGTTCTGTTCAGTCTTTAAAGCAGACGCCTCAGGATGTCTCAATACTCACTTTGTGTGTTTGTTTTTCTGCATGCAGAGGCACAAGGGAGATGCTGCTGAAAAGGCCCTCAGCAAGCTTCAAGTGTGCACTTTAAGGAAAGGAGACAAGGTAAACAAGACTCTTCACACTTTTAGGTTCTGTGCTGAATTAAGTTTAATGTGTTAGAATCCTGTGGATCTGTTCCTCTGCTGCCTTTCTTAGGAAACATCAAACATCAGTAAACCGAATCAATGTTCTGCTCTGGTCCTACAGAGTAGAGGAGAGCCTGTTTTCCTCTTTAGATGAACCAGAACCGGTCCTTTAGACAGGGTGGCAGAGTGTCCTCATTCTGCTGTCCTCTCTGTTTAAGGAAACGGAAGCGGACTTTGACAGCTGTGCAGTTTGCATTGAATGTTACAAAGCTAATGACGTGGTGAGGATCTTACCCTGCAGGTGAGGCTGCCGTGCTCCTGAACCTCAGCTCCATCCGACCTATATTCAGACGTCCAGTTTATGGTCTGTGTGTTTCATCTTGACTGGTCAGACATGTCTTCCACAAACACTGCGTGGATCCGTGGCTCCAGGAACACAGGACGTGTCCGATGTGCAAAATAAACATCTTTAAAGCCCTGGGAATCCAAGTAAGCTTCTCTCTGGCTTAATCTATGCTGTTTGCTTGTCAAGGCCGAAAAAAGAGCTAAAGATGTGTTGGTGTTTCCAGTTCAGTGCTGACTGCACAGATGAGACCCCCCCAGACAATGAGGCCAGTGTCGGGGGTCCCCTGACCTACCCCATCAGTGCTGCTAGTGAAATCACAGTGAACGAGAGCTCAGTGGATCCTGCAGAGCGGGGGATCGCCCTGCATCAGCTCCACCATCAGCCGGAAGTGGCGCCGACGCAACAGATCCACACCGCTGTCAGCTGTACGTACGATGGCCTCACTCAGGGTTCCAGCCAAATTGGTCTTTGATGGTTGAACCCAGTTTGACTCAGAGGTGGGGGAGGTTCTACCATTAGTTTGCACTGTCACCAAGTGGCCACAGAGGTCAATGGCAGGCTGTGATGGAGAGAGATGTCCAGTCAGAAGTTTAACTCCCTTATCACTGATCTGGATTTCTCTTTATATATGTTTTTGTTCCAATATGCAAAGAACATAAAACTACTTTATTGAAGTTGGTTTCATCCTTCGTGTCTACGTCAATTTTAAATTCATTTATCTATTTAGCAGCAATTCACAACATGTCATCTTAAGGCACTTTACAGAGACAAAACAGTCAAATTGGTTAAAAGTTACTGTCTAAGAAAATCAGCTGACTGCATCCAGTCATTGATTTGCAACACATGCTCCTCCTGGATGAGCTGGAGTTGACAATTTTCAAAGGCATTTAAAGGAATATTACACCCAAAACATGATTAGCCTTCATTTTCTACTCACCCCCACGCTGAACAACACTCTGGAGTACTTTTTTGATATCTCAAATGCATCTGGAGATCTGGGAGGCTTCTTGCTGTCTGCTGACATTCAAATAATGGAGGTCTATGGTGACCGAGGCAGAAAGGTCCATAAAAGTCCACAAAAAACCTGTCAAACCAGATGAAAGTGCGCATTCAGCTCAGCAAAGAACTCATGCTCTTCCTCAACACTGAAGTCCTCAGACATTTTTCTTTCGTTGTTTCTTTCTTTGCACAGGTAAACAGCACATTTCTTCTTCTACGCTTGCATTATTGGCAGAGCAGACGCTGAATGCGCACTTTCATCTGGCTTGGTCTGCCGCGGTTTCCGTAGCGCCGTGAACGCGCTTTTAGGAAATCCTATACACTACTGTTTATGCTCTAAAAACATTCTAAATGACTTCGTTTCGAGTAAATTCTGGATGCTACCCACTCAGGACACTTGGAATACATTGGACGAGCAGTATGGAGGAATATTGACACGTTTTTTGTGGACTTTTATGGACCTTTCTGTCTCGGGCACCATAGACCTCCATTATTTGAATGTCAGCAGACAGCAAGAAGCCTCCCAGACCTCCAGATGCATTTGAGATATCAAAAAAGTACTCCAGAGTGTTGTTCAGCATGGGGGTGAGTAGAAAATGAAGGCTAATCATGTTTTGGGTGTACTATTCCTTTAAGAAGTTGACTCTTCAGCAATCCCTCACACTAAGCATTCAAGTAGTGCAGTGGAGAGGAAAACTCAATTTGAACAGGAAGAAACATCCAGTAGAACCAGCAGCAGACATAGAAAAAGAAACAGATACAAAAGGTATGTAAGTGTCACCCAGTTACACAGGCGGCCCGTCCAGGAAAGACACAGCCCTGCAGATGAGCTGAGAGGCTGCTCCCATGTCAGAGTGTGAAAGAGAGCACACACAGTAAGTCACAGTTGGAGAAATAGGACTACACCTGAAGACCATTTAGACATGGCTCTAAAACTGTTAATGAGTGTGTTCCAGTCGGACGGAGGCGGCCATTAAAGCCGGGCATACACTGTGTGATTTTTTTGCCCTTTCCGGGGCAACTTTTCAGTCGTGTGAGAATTTTCGATCGGGCCGACTTTCTGCTTGATTGTGCGTCATGTACTGTACAGGGGGTAAAGAGGGGCGATCGGCCTCTCACGACCACCTCCTGATCAGGAATCGTGAGGACCGTCATGGGCAAATCGTTCAGTGAGCATCGCAAACAAGGATTCTTCTTCTCAGATGATAACACAGAAGCAGGATGCGAGTTCTTTCTGTAAAATTGACAGACCGTAGCAGCCACGTTTGCTCAGCCATGTCTTTGTCCAAATACGTCGTTGCCTTTTCTTTTTAGGGCTTTTAGCACAAAATTGCACAAATTGCAAGGCAGCACTTCATTCAGCACTTCGCTCAGCGCTGTGAACGAAAGCCTGCGGTTTCAGTGTGAGCTGTAGCTGTGTGCAAAAATTTTTAAAAAATTCGCTCAGTGTAAGCCCAGCTTAAAGTTGGTTTAGAATGTCTTAGTTTGATGACGCCGGTCAGCACTGGGTTATCAGAGCATGAGTCCAGTGCCAGGAACTCAGTTCAGATCCTAGGAGACGTTCCCCACCAGCTAGAGAAGTCTTTTGGAGACACATTCAACTATCAGATTCCACCTTTAGACGAGGTCATGTTTGTATGATCAAAAAACAATCTAAATTCTGCACACGTGTCCATGATGAGCGGATGTGATGGTCTGGATGGACCCAGTGTTGAAACAGGTCTCACTGAGTTCTGTTTTGCTCTGCAGGTCAGAACTGGCCTCCAATTTCCATGACGGATGTGGACTGTCCTCTGGAGCACGATGACACCAGGTCCAGAGACGGCCCCTGCTGAGGAGACACTCTTCAGAGATGATGTCATACAGGAGGAATAACGGACAGAACAGGAAAAAAACCACAAACCCTCGGTTCTGTTTCACTGACTGTAAATTGGCCTTCAGAGAGGAGGGCTCGTTGTCTCCATGGAGACGATGAGGAGCAGCTCTCACATTAGAGCCTCACTGAGTAGAAGAGGAGAAAAGATGATGAGAAGGGATGAGGATGATGGTAATAATGATGATGATGATGATGATGATGATGATGATGGCCCTCCTCCTGCTGTTCCTCCTCAAGGTTTGCAGCTTTAACCAGCATGATGCTGTTACAAAGAATCAAAGACTTTTTCAGAGGCTGAAAACTTTAAAAAAAAGCAGATTAGTCTTTAAAATCCCGTTATCTGAGAGCAAGTCCTTTGGCTCTGCTGCAGACGTGGAGCCAAAGGCCAAAGTCCTGAGGTCCGTCTAAAGGAAAACTGATCGTTTCCAGACTGAACTCTGGATGACAGAACACAGCATCTGCTATCCAAACCCAAACTGGCTGATCTGTTATTTCATGATGTTTATGGAATTTAGTGAGGAGTTTAGAGGAGAAAATATGCGATTCCTTCTAATGAGGTTTTATTAGTGTCCGAACCAAACCTGTAGGTTTCATCCAGCAGAAAAAAATCTCCACAGAACATAGAACAGCCAGGTTAGGATTGGTTTCCACAGCAGACCCCAGTTCATTTTATTTCTTGAAGGAATTTTGGTTCCTTCTTCCAGTCATCTTCATGAAGGTCCACCCGAAGCTCCTGTTTCTACAGACAGAAGAGCACAGTAATAGTTGAAGAAGCAGACAGTGCTTCCTAGAATTTCTAAAAGTAGAATGGGAAGCAGATATTTTAGTTATCAGGCCCCCCTCCTGTGTAACAAACTGCCAGTTTTATTCCTATTTTAAACCCTGTCTACTTTTAAGGCTGTTCTTAAAACGTTCCTTTTTGATAAAGCTTATAGTTAGAGTGGCTCAGGTTATCCTGAGCTATCTCTATAGTTATGCTGCTATAGGCTTAGACTGCTGGAGGACATAAGGACCAATTTTCATCATTCTGCTTTATTCTGTCTCTGACCAGCTGGTTGTTCTCTCTTTCATCCTTTGACATGAAAACTGGCTCAGAGCTCATCTAATTAACTGTTTCTTTCCCAGATAGTGCCAGCTATGGAGCTAGTTTACCGATAGCTTTTCTAACATAGAAAGTACTCATAGATTAGTACTTTTTATGCTCCTTTTCTATATCTGCTTCTGTCTCCTTGAACCCCAGTCGGCCTCAGCAGATGGCCGCTCACACTGAGCCTGGTTCTGCTGGAGGTTTCTTCCTGTAAAAGGGAGCTTTTCTTCTCCATTGTTGCTGCATGCATGCTTGGTGTGATTGCTGAAGAGTCAATATCTACATTCTCTAAAAGCTAATCCTGTGAAGTGTGTGACTGATTGCAATCAGCTGGTTTTCCTTGGACAGAAACTTTGAACATTTGATCTGACTGGATGATCTGATTGATCTGGATCTATAAAGAGACCCAAGATGAATTGAAGCTATATAAATAAACTGAGATGGATTGAAAAAATAAATATAGAAGCACAGGCTTAGCTTTGGGAGGAGTTCTCTGATACTGCACAGGGTCAGTCATCTGATGTAGCAGTAAAGGGATTGCGTGTTGGACTAAAGCTCTGAGGAGATTCTCTCTGTTTTCTTTGAGCTATAGTCAGTCCGTTTGACAGTGTAACCATGGTGATGCTTCTGAAATAAATCCTATCTGTTCATTTCCTCTGGTTTCATTCAGCATTAAGTGTTTAAAATAAAGCAGTCTGTCTGTCAGAACCAGATCAATCACTATATGGATATAAATTATCCTTCTACTCGACTAAGAAGAAAACAGAGAGCCAGAGTGGTTCCACACAGACATGGTTCTAACATTAGTTAGTTGGTAAGAAGGAACCAAAGTAGGAGCCTGAAAGAGATGATGTAGTTGAAACATCAAACTCAATGATATTAAACTGCCAATTATCCCAGTAATTTACCAGCTGTAAATGTAAATCTGGCCTGAAGAGGGCGCTAACGAGCACATGAAATTCATGGGGGTGGTGAGTCATCTCTGTCTACAGGGTGAAAACAAAAGCAACCGCCTTCCAGGACTAATCAGTCGGGGGTTGATGGTTTCTCTGATGCAGCTTTCAGTATCGGTTCCACTGATTTTTACAGTAATACATTAAATGTAAGGAAGCATGGAGGAGTAGTGTCATGGTTTGGGAAACTTACTGCAGCAGGACATTCCAAAGACCGTCAACCAAGACTCCAACATGTCCCTGTTTTCTACCACAGAATATTGATAGAAAATCATTGAAAACAAAATGGACGCCGGCAGAAGAAGAGGCGGATCCAGAGACAGAACAGTGACCCAAAGCCTACCACTGAGGAACAGCCAACTATTAAAAAGTGGTCAGAGTCCATGGTCCAGTTAAAGTCCACGGTTCAGTCAAAGCCCGCCTATAGTCCTCTTAGGCAACGTTTACACTGCAGGCCTTGATGCTCGATTCTGATGTTTTTGTGAAATCCGATTTTCTTTATGTTCACATTGCCGTAAACCGCATTCTTACAGCGGAAGTTCCCACATGCGCAGTAGAGGACGCAATGGCGTCACAAGCCAGCGTGCTTCGTGTTTACGGAAGTAAACATGGATGTAGTGCTGGAGAGCATCTTTCCAAACCTTAAAACCTTAATCTTTCCAAGATTGTTAAAAAAAAAAATACTGCTCTCCACATCATCGTCCGCCATGGTGTTTGTTTTTCTTGCTGCTTCTGTGTAGCAAGAAGCAGGATAGTGACCTTTGTTGGGTATTAATGGCGTTCAGGTGGGATGAATGTAAAATGGCTGTTCAGACACAGGTCGCATTTGAAAAGATCAGATTCATATCGGATTCAGGACCACATACCCATGTGTCCTGGGTTGGATTTGAAAAAATCTGATCTGTGCTGTTCAGACTGCAATTAAAAGATCAGATCCAGGTTGCGTGTGGGCAAAAAAATTGGATTTGGGTCACTTCAGGCTGCGGTGTGAATGTAGCCTTAGATTCTGTGAGCTGAATGTTGTTTTAAATGCAACAAACATTAAAGAACTGAAATGAAGCGGAGTGCTCTCCCAGACCTGGACTTAGACCTGGTCCAGACCCGGATCGGACCTAGACTAGACTAGACTTGGACCAGACCTGGACCTGTCAATATGTCAGCTAAAGATGAAAGGTCACATGGAAGGTGTCTTAACTTCTGCTCAGCTAGAAAACCCATTTCTGTTGTTTGTAAAACCAGTTTTTGGTTCCTAACAGATCTTCTCTGCTCCACCTAAAACCTCTGAGTTGGACCTTAAGCTGTTCTAGATCAGAGGTTCTCCATGCTACCTCAAGTACCAACCTCTGTTAAGCACTTCCTGTCTACTAAGTCTATTTTTCCTGCCTATGAAATTTGATGCTGGCCTTCCAAATCCTCTGGTCCATTTGGACCTTTAGTCAGTATCTTTGGGGCAGCTGTTGTTTTCCATACATCCCATAAAACAGATCAAAAGTTTCATTTGAATGACTGTGATTCTAAATGAGTGTAATCAGCCAAAGGAAGACGAGTCCTTTGGATAGAACTGATTAAAATATTTTTAAAGCATGAGAGTAAACTGGCTGATTGGAAGCTGAACCCGACAATGGTTTCAGAGTTTCAATCAAACATTCTTGATGACGAAGAACAGAGAACAGAGAGTGTGTCGTGCTGTTTGGGTTTGTCTGTCAGGGAACAGTAGTTTCTGTCCGAGACACTTTCACACCGAGCTGTTGCCATCACATATCTGCTGTCAGAGCAGAAACCGGTTATCATGGGAACACACATGCTGGAAGGATCAGTGAGCCCACCATAGGTACGCTATCTAAGGTCCTATCATCCCTGCTGGGAACTTAACCAGAACCGGATCTACAACTGGATCAGAGCATCCAGGCCCAAAGAATGCAGATACAGAATAAATGTTCTGATCATCACAGTCCTCATTTTCCCAAACAAACCCTGCAGAGATTCCTGTATGGGGAGCAGCAGAGGACCAGGGAGAACCCCAACAGCTCCTCAAACTGTTAGTCTGATATGAGACAGAAGTCAGGGCTAAACAATCCGATCTTGTTTTCCTTTCCTTCCCCTAAAAGCAGAAGTGATCCAGAGTTTGGAAAGAACCAGGAGTGGATTTAGGAACCAAGAAGTGGAACCAACACTCCGAGATGTTTTGTTTTTGTTGAGCTGATGCTCATCACAATTATTCTCATCTTCATGAGTAATAAGGATTTTTTTTTTGACACCCCCTTACCTAAGGTGTATTTCCCTTTTTGAACAAACTGAGTCAGACTCTGATTTCAGTGATCTAAATACAATGGTGTTGTTGTTGACATTAAAAGTCAGAAGCTGAAGGTATAGTCATCTAGTCATCTCTGTGGGGTGGGGGGGGGACCAATCATTTCTGTCTCTGCAGCAGCAGCAGCTGTAACCCGTGAGAGTCTGCGGCGAGGCGCCTCGCTGCGGTTCACTGAAGGGGAAAGTTTCAAACAACCACCTGAAGCCGAGCTTAGTCAACCCCCGCCCCCGAAGAAAACATACACTACCGTCTCTCCATATCCTGTTTTTGAGGCCACAGAAAACTGAAAGCAAAGCAAGCTGCTCTCAGGATATGTGAAGCTGTTCAGGTCCCCTTTGCTCCTCATCTCTGACCTTCAGGTCCGGATGAAGCTCATGGACCTGATGCTGCCATATTGGTTGGTGGTTAGCAGGATCACAGCATGGTGTCTAGTTCACATCTCTGCTGAGTCTTTTCTTCACACTTAAACTCTCACCTCCAAGTTATCTAAACACATTTTAAAGCTTTGAAATATTTTCACACCTTAAGTGAAAAAGACACCTGAGTGGTTTTCCTTTACAGGCTTCAGAGTAAATGGGGCTGATGGAAGCTTTTGAGGGGACAAATGTGTTGAAATCAATCCTGCCTCAGCAGTGGAAGATTCGGTGAGGCTTCTCACATATTTTCAGGTTGCAATAAAAATGTTTTTTTCAACTCAATAAATTGTAATCTAATCAAACCCTTGGAGAAAATCTGACCATAACTTTTTTCCAATCTATACAAAGACTGAAAGGCATTATGGGAAATGAACTTTCAACCTTCAGATCACTCAGAAACTCTCACATCACAGACATCTAAAACCCTCTACCATGTTTGATGATAAAATAGAAAAAAAAGCAGAATAACAGCAAACAAAAATAAACAAAATATGTTATAAAAATAAAGCAATTGGACCACAACCTTAAACAAATAACGTCTACAGTCAAAGGCAGCTCTAAACAAATGGGTTTTTAACTTTGACTTGAAAGAATAAAGGCTTTAAGTGGAGCATAGGAACTAAATGCTGCTTCTCCACATTCGGTTCTGGTTCTGGGTGTAGAGAGTAGGCTTAAAGTAGAAGTCCTGAGTGGTCTGTGAGGTTGAGACACTGACAACAAATCTGTTATTTATTGAGATGCTGATCTATTCAGTGATTCAGACTAACAGAAGGATTTAAAAGTCTATTCTCTGAGCCAGAAAGAGCAAGTGTAAGGACTTCCGGACCGGGTTGATGTGTTCTACTTTCTTAGTTCTAGTGTAGTTAGATTAGTTTCAAACTCCCCCCACAAAAAGATTTACAAAGTTTTCAAACTGTCCTGAGGGTGACATATAAGCAGATATGATCATTAATTCTAGTGCTGGACCGATACCAGTATCGGGCAGGGTCCCGATCCAGCACTAAAATGGTGGTATCGGTATCTGCGAGTACCAACAAATAGGGCACCGATATCATTTTGAGAGCCAAAAGTTTATTCAACTATTGTCACCCATTCCAGGTAGACAATAAAAAGTTCTACTGGATTCTAGCCTGATAAACCAGACTAAACGTGAGATTAAATGTGTAATTTAGTCTGGCCCCAATGAATGTGACATTGGAAGATTGCTGATGAAAACAACCCGTTGTCTTTCAAACCATGTCTGTGCCTGTTGGCCAACGCTCTGACCAATAAGCACAACTGACTGTGACGTAGTAAGCGCGACAGAAAGCTGGGGGATTGTACGAATACGTGTACAAATACATCCTTCTTAAAAATGAATGAGCGTAGAGCCTCTGCTCACGTTTCAATGAAAACCCCAAGACTATTCCTTCCAAAACTGATTCCAAAGCTGAGTCAAACAAGAACTGTTCAATAGTTGTTGCTATCTTCCTTGTTGTGCTTTCTCCAGCGTTGCCCAGCTTTGTTGTCATGCCCTTTGCATCCAAAAATTCAAAACACATCTCTGTTGGGATTGGCCCGCCAGTTCTAGGGCCTGGGGCATTGATCGAGGCTGGACCAAACTCGCAGGAAAAATGATTTTGGACGGGTGGGGCTAGTATACTAGGCTAACTGGATTCCCTTTGTATTAGTCTTTTTCCTGCTTCTCAAAGGTAGGCAGCAGCTAGAGCAAGCCATGATGGCAATTATTTTACATCCAAGTAGTATTTAGTTCTTCATATATACACACACACATCAATTTTAAACAGATGGTATCGGTATCAGCCAATACTGCACAGCCAGGTATCGGGGCCAAAAAATGGCATCGGCTCAACACTAATTAATTCCTCTATAGTCTGTTTCTTTGCTGGATGAATGGTTTTCTATCATGTGGTTCCCACTGTGCTCCTGTTTCACAACATAAGGTTTATTTTTCTCACTTTGTTTTTGTGTTTGAATATTTACCAGCATACAGAGGGAAAGAAAAAGAGGACAAGAATAAAGCAAGATGGAAAAAATTATTTTTAAAATCTGACACACTTTCACACCGAACTGTTGCCATTTAATTAGACCACTAACTAATGTGTTACAGGTTATTCATTTCCTTAGAAAATGACCTACATATCTGAAATATTATATTACACATTACATAAGCGACAAAAATTACCTAATCAGAAATAATGTTTAGTTATTTCTTCTGCAGATGAAAAACTAAAATCTGGTGGAGTGCATCTTTACTCTGACAGACTGGAGTTCATTTCTCTAAAGTTTTTGTAACCTCGCCATATCCAACAATTATCAATACAATGACGCAGATTTGACACAAAAGGTTTGTTGCACAACATCAATCTGCACATATGGCCTTTAGTTAACAGGAGGTTCGCTTGTGGGGTGTGGTTCCGGGGAATGCATTAGTTTATGGATATTAACGCGGTTCCAGAGCTAATCCCTGTGTTTGGCCTACAGGCTGAAGGTGGTTGCAGCACTGAAGCGCGCATTGACGTTCAGAACCATCATGAGGGTCTGTTATCAGTCTGACCCTCGGATCGTTTTCATCAATAGATAAAAACTGGGAGACATTTTGTTCCCTCCAACATACACATTAAAAAACACCTCAAATCCTGGCTCAAGTTTTAAGGAGACGCAACGGTTTGGCCCACACTCCTCTGCCTCCTGCGCGCTGACGACACGCGAGCCTTCTCTATGGAAAGACAATTTACGATTTATTCTAGTTAAAGAAAGTGGGGATTTACCTCTGCATAATAGGTTCTGCAAGACAAGAAACATGACATCAACATAAAAAGATGGTTATGCAACAGCAATCAATACTGTGTTCCAGATCCTCTATCAGCTGCTCAACAGTGTTTACATATTCAAATATTTTTAACAGCACTACTAGAGCTAAAGTGGGCAGAAGAACGACTTTCTTGTTTAACCCTCTAAGTCAAAGATGATTCAAAGTAAATTAAATTGTAGCTCTTGTTCCTACCCTATTATACTGGGAACATGAATTAGGAATAGGAAGTATAGGAACAGGGACTCTAGGAAATGAGCTATAGTAACAGGAGCTATAGGAACTATGGGAACAGGAACTATAGGAACATGAGCTACAACAACTATAGGAACAGGTACTGCAAGAACAGGCACCATTGCAACAGGAGCTACAGGAACATAAGCTATAGGAACAGGGGCTAAAGGAACTATATTATCAGGCACTAGAGGAACAGGAGCTGGAGGAACACAATCTATAGGAACATGAATTACAGGAACTATAGAAAGAGGAACTACGGGAACATGAAATATGAGATCAAGAGCTAGGGGAAAAGGGACTTAATGAACATGAACTATAGGAACATGAGCTACAACAACTATAGGGAGAAGTACTGCAAGAACAGGCACCATTGGAACATGACCTACAGGAACCAGAGCTATAGTAACAGGAGCTATGGAACTATATTATCAGGAACTATAGGAACAGGATCTATAGGAACAGGAGTTACAGAAACTGTAGGAATAGGAACTATGGGAACATGAACTATAAGATCAAGAGCTAGGGGAACAGGAACCATATGAACATGAACAATAGGAACAGGAACTGTAAGAACAGAGGCTGTAGGAGCATGAACTAAAAGAACAGGAACTATACGAACATGAACTATAGGAACAGGAGCTATAGGAACAGCAGCTATAGGAACAGGGGCTAAAGGAACTATATTATCAGGCACTAGAGGAACATGAGCTGGAGGAACACAATCTATAGGAACATGAATTACAGGAACTATAGAAAGAGGAACTACGGGAACATGAACTATGAGATATAGAGCTAGGGGAAAAGGGACTTAATGAACATGAACTATAGGAACATGAGCTACAACCACTATAGGGAGAAGTACTGCAAGAACAGGCACCATAGGAACATGAACTACAGGAACCAGAGCTATAGTAACAGGAGCTATGGAACTATATTATCAGGAACTATAGGAACAGGATCTATAGGAACAGGAGTTACAGAAACTGTAGAAAGAGGAACTACGGGAACATGAACTATAAGATCAAGAGCTAGGGGAACAGGAACCATACGAACATGAACAATAAGAACAGGAACTGTAAGAACAGAGGCTGTAGGAGCATGAACTAAAAGAACAGGAACTATACGAACATGAACTATAGGAACAGGAACTGTAAGAACAGAGGCTGTAGGAGCATGAACTAAAAGAACAGGAACCATACGAACATGAACTATAGGAACAGGAACTGTAAGAACAGAGGCTGTAGGAGCATGAACTAAAAGAACAGGAACCATACGAACATGAACTATAGGAACAGGAACTGTAAGAACAGAGGCTGTAGGAGCATGAACTAAAAGAACAGGAACCATACGAACATGAACTATAGGAACAGGAACTGTTAGAACAGAGGCTGTAGGAGCATGAACTAAAAGAACAGGAACCATACGAACATGAACTATAGGAACAGGAACTGTTAGAACAGAGGCTGTAGGAGCATGAACTAAAAGAACAGGAACCATACGAACATGAACTATAGGAACAGGAACTGTTAGAACAGAGGCTGTAGGAGCATGAACTAAAAGAACAGGAACCATACGAACATGAACTATAGGAACAGGAACTGTTAGAACAGAGGCTGTAGGAGCATGAACTAAAAGAACAGGAACCATACGAACATGAACTATAGGAACAGGAACTGTAAGAACAGAGGCTGTAGGAGCATGAACTAAAAGAACAGGAACTATACGAACATGAACTATAGGAACAGGAACTGTTAGAACAGAGGCTGTAGGAGCATGAACTAAAAGAACAGGAACTATATAAACATGAACTATAGGAACAGAAGCTATAGAAAAAATAGCAATGGGAGCAGGAACTACAGGAATGGGGGCTATAGAAATAGGAACTATAGGAACAGAAGCTTAAGCAACTATAGAAGTAGCTGGGAGTTACTATGTGAGGTACTCTGATGGAGCCAGGTTCCAGGATGAGTTTATTTTTTTTATTATTATTTGTTTTATATCCAGAACCTCCACCTCTGTTGTTACTATCTCATATGTTTATCCATATCAAATCTGTATAAGTCTCATACAAAAAATAATCCTCCAGTTTCTTAACCTGCCAGGTTTGTGCTTCGGTTTGAAACCAGATCATCAAGGAAAGAGATTTACGCACTAACTTTATCAAAAAGGGTTCTTTTCCTAACCTGAAGGTTTTTAGTATCCCAGCTTTGTCCTCAATAACTTTGATGAGCAAAACAATGAATGTGCTGTTATTCCTCAGTTTACGAACACAGAGTAGGTAAAGTGATGCTGGTCTTAAACAAGCATGCGCCAAATGTTCTGAGTTAATATGATTTGTAGGGCCCACCAGCCTTATCGGGCCTGGGTTCATCTAGGTTTGTTAATCCTTAGATAATATGTGATTTGACATTAAATTAAAAGTTACGCTGTAGAAAATAGGACAGAATAGAAAGAAAATAATGACACATAAATGCATGAAGAACGATTTTCTCCAGAGGTGGGGGGCCACCCTCCACCTCAGGCTAGATTATCACGTCTGGTTTGTGATTTGCGTAAAACTGAGTGAAAGAGATGTTTGGTTTTTCAAATGATGCTCCAGTTCTGCTCCTATTTGTCTCGGTGGTTTGGGTTTGCCTCCCCCTGATTATCAGTGGCTTCCATCTGAACAATGCCTGGAGCTCTCTGGGGGAGGTTCTCCAACACTAGTGGCAGGATCTCTATTTAAAGCAGAGGTAGCCAATAAATGCTCATACGTCTTTCCATACTGAGGCGCTTCAGCTGAGGAAGAGGAGGAGGAGGAGCAGAGCACCGCGGTGTCAGTGTCGGGTTCTGGCTGTCAGGTTCTGGCTTATTCCTTGGCGCACGGACGGGTATCGCTGTTTGGACACATTTCGGTCCGGTTCCGTGGATTCTTCGCCTGCCGGTTCCGCAGCTGCTGCTGATCCAGGCTGGCCGCTTAAAGACGCACTGATTCCTTTCAGACTGCCAGCTACCAGCTGTTATTTACAGGCTGAACCGAACCCAGGTTTTTGCACGAGCGGCTGTGAGCGCCTTTGTTCTGGGAATATCTCTGGATCCCGCGTCCTGCTGATGAAGGTGGAGGATCCAGGTGAACCGGGCCTGTTCTGAACCACACATTAGAACTTCAATGGTTCTGTAAGGGGAGCGGAACCAGGAACATGTGGGTCATTCCTGAAGATGTGCTGCTGGCCGGAGCGCTGTGGGTCACCGAGAGGGCGAACCCGTTCTTCATCCTGCAGAGACGGAAGGGCCACGGAGGAGGAGGAGGTGGAGGAGGAGGAGGAGGGGGAGGGCTGGCCGGTGAGTCTCTGCACAAAAACAACAACAACAGCAGCCACGTGAGCAATCAGCTGCGAGCTGACCTTTCACCTCCGATAGCTGATTGATCATGTTGGTGATTGATGTACCAACTTTGATCCTGGAAATACTCCCACGGGACCCTGTGACGTCACCCTGTGTCTGCTGCAGCTCAGACAATCATGTCCTCTGCTGCTTGGAGGCTGGAGAACAGGAAGCTGTTTCTGCTGCTTCATGCTGAATCATCCCTCCTCCTCTTCCTCATCTTCCTCTTTAGAAAACTCCATCCAAGAGGAGGAGCAGGAGGAGGACCTGACAGCCTAAGGATGAGGTGTGAAATGCAGGAGCAGCTGATGGTTGAGATCTAGATGCTCTGAGGTGTGACAGCAGGTGGGGGGCACCAGCTGAACATCCAGGATGCTCCATGGTCTGAGAAGAAAGTCACATGATGTCTCAGCAGAACCACTTTCTGATTGGATCTGTGGCTCCCTGAGGTGCTAACAGGAAGCAGCAGCTATCAGAACCAAATGGTTTGGACCCGAGAAGCTAGGCGGGGTTAGGATGCAACCGATGGATTCGTTAACCAATGATCAGACAGATGGTGAAGGTATCTGGGGGCTTCATGACCCCATGACACTTCTGGCTCCTGAGGGCCAGAGAAGTGGCTCTGACGGGCCGGATTGGGCCTCATGTTTCAGGCGGTTAATGATTTGATGTTTGCTAACAGACATCTATAGCTGCAGCGACCCTGATGACTGCTGGGGGTGCCAGCAAAGCAGTAGAAGCCCCCCCAGACCTCAGAGGGGCAACGCTGCCACCTGATGCTCTGACACCTTCTCCATGTGAAAGGGTTATCTCTTCGCTGACGGTTTCCTCCAAATGTTTAAAGAGCTTCTTTCTGATTGGTCGGCTGTTAGGGTGCATGGCAATGAAGATGAGGAGGAAGAAGCAGGAGCTTCTGTTTTCAGCTGCATCAGTTTTGGTCCGGTGGGTGGTGTGGGTTGTTGATGCTGTGGTTCCCCACCACAGATTCTGGTGTTGAAGTTGTGGGCTGGGTGTGGGTGGGGGGAAGGTCTGGTACGTGGTGACGTGACGGCAGGAACATCTGATTGTCTCAGTTTTCTACAAAAACACACGGAATCCCCTGATCTCCAGGCTCGGTTCTGGTCAGCTGCCTGTTTTCCAGTCAGGATCCAGACACATCTGGGTTGAGCTGGGCAGAATCAGCCAGGTTCCTCCTCCAGCTGATCCTTAGCTAATAGTTTCCAGCACAATTACCCAGAGATTCGGTTCTGGGTTTTTCTCTTTGTAGGCTGACATGCAGGAAACCTCAGCTCACATGAGGACCTACCCAGTGGTTCCATGTACTGACCCAGTGGACCCAGTGGTTCCATGTACTGACCCAATGGACCCAGTGGTTCCATGTAATGACCCAATGGACCCAGTGGTTCCATGTACTGACCTAATGCACCCAGTTTAGGGAAGCTAGAATCGAAACCTGATGGTTTTGCTTCACAGAGCAAAAGTCTTGGTTCTGGTTCTCAGGCAGCCTCCAGGCGTTGGGCGTGACTCTGCACTAACAGCATGAGGAAGCTGGTTCTGACCCGTTTATCAGAACGATGTCAGCATCTTTCACAGAAACCGCTGCTAAACATCAAATGAACATAAAAACAGGAAACAGATCCACATGGGTGAGCCTGGCTGTTCACCACAGAAGCAGAACTTTAGAGCAGAAAGAAGCAGTTTTCTAACCTTAGAACGTAGAATTTCGTGGATCCAAGAACATCTCCAAATGTAGAACATATCTGATCAAAGACGGTATGTGATCGTAGAGCATCTTTGATCGTAGAACATCTTTAAACGTAGAACCTCTGATCCTTGAGCGTCTTTGACTGTAGACCATCTCAAAACATGGCAATTATCGTAAAACATCTCTAAACCTAGAAACTCTCTTAAGGTAGAACATAGAATGTCTTTGATGCAGAACACCTTTAAAAATAGAACGCTTTTGATCATAGAACATCTCTAAATGTAGAACATCTCTAATAGTACAACACCTCTGAACATAGATATCTCTAAACGTAGAAGGTCTCTGATCGTAGAGCATCTTTGACTGTAGACCATCTCGAAACATGGAACATCTCTTAATGTAAAACAACTCTTAACGTAGAACAGCTCTAAGCCTAGAAGGCCTCTGATCGTAGAACATCTCTTAACTTAGACCGTCTCTGACCATAGAGCTTCTTTGGTCGTAGAACATCTTTGAACACAGAGCTTCTTTAAAGTAGAACATCTCTGAATGTAGAACATCTCTGAACGTAGATTGTCTCTGACCCTAGAGCCTCTCTGTTGTATGACCGTTTTGGTCAGTTCCTCCCATCTGACTGAAATAAACAGATTAACCAATCCATTAATTATTAATTATCAATGAGGCCATTAGTCAAAAGGAGGTAAGAACTGTGCTCTGTCCTTGAAGGAGAAGACGTTTCAGGTCAGATAAGGCATAACCCCAGGTCCACTGTGTGAACTTTAAGCTGCAGGGGTTCTAGTCCTTCTGGAAGTCCTTCTGTTTCCAGTTCATCCATGGTTTCATAAATCTGAGTCATTTATCCCCCTCAGTCTGTTCAGCTGTTTGATCTTTTATTTTCTGTCCTTCCAGGTTTGCTGGTGGGAACTTTGGATGTGGTTCTGGACTCCAGTGCTCGTATGGCCCCATTCCGGATCCTCTACCAGACTCCTGATTCTTTGGTGTACTGGATCATCGCTCATGGTAGGAAAACCCAAACATGAGGTCATTAGTGATGCCAAATATAGCAGCAAATAACCAGAATATATTGGAATAAGCCTGGAATTTTTAACCCGAGTGCAGCTGGAACCTCTATGTCCGAATTAAAACAGCAACGTGAGGGAATAGATTAGAGGTGGACTGAAATGTGTTTTTTAAGGCCGATATATAAGGCAGCACTGAGGGATGCAGGCAGGGACTGTAGAACCATGGCTGTTTTCACGTGAAGTTGCTAAACTCTCCAGAGCGAAATCTCTAGGTTAGGCTTCTTTCTAAGTTTCTGAAAAGTCTCCAAATATAAAGTTGCTAAGTTAGCAGAGCAGCAACCTGTAGCCAGCAGCTAAAGTGGAAAAAATAAAAATCTAAATAATTTTTTCTTCAAATAATTGCATTTGTTTATAATTGAGGAGCTAATTGGACTAGTTTGCCAATGGAACAAGACAATATGCATTGAAAATAATAAAAGAAAAACAATTGCATTGTCTTATTTCAAGTGTATATTATCTAATAATTTTATTTTAAGGGTAAAAATACAAATTTCCTTTGCAAATCTTATTTACCTACTCAAATTAAGGGTAAATGCACTTAACTGAAGACATTCTTACTTATTTCTACATCGTTTTTGCAGTGCTGCAGCGTCATATGCAGTTGTATATCAAGACAGAACAAGCAATGTTTGCTTTTCAAAATAAATCTTCATGATATTTGAATTCATTTGAAACTAGAATAAGTGTGCAGTTAAACAGGATGCTCTATCAAGTCTTTTAACATATTTATTATTCATTCTGAATGTGTGGAGTCTTTTAATTTGCTGCAGCTGAATGCGAACATCGGTCAAAGGAGGGAGAAACCCTTCATCTCTTCTTCTTCCTCAATTTTCATGATAAAATAAACTCTTTCTACTTTAACATTTTCACAAAATGTGACCTTTTTTTGGCAGTTTGGAAAAATTTTCCTGAAGGTTTGAGTTGATTTTGTTTAATAAAAAAAAAAACACATTTATTTTTAATATTTTGTGAGCATGGAAATGACACCCTGTGATGGACTGGCGACCTGTCCAGGGTGTACCCTGCCTCTCGCCTGTAGACAGCTGGAGATAGGCACCAGCACCCCTCGCTACCCCACTTGGAATAATCATGATAGAAAATGGATGGACAGATGGAAATTATACCCCTGGTGGTGATGCCTCCGTCTATGCCTACTAAGGCTTAAAGCAGCATGACACATTTAACAGGGCGGTGAGATGTTTGGAGGAAGTAACCAACAGGAGAACCCCTGTTGGCTGAAATATCAGCTATTTCCCTGATATCTGGACGCTCTGGTTGCAGAAACTCATTATTTGCATCTCAGAAAGGTTAACTTATCAAAGAGTGAATTACTGGAGAATGGAGATGTTCTCAGGGACATCTAATGTTTTGAGGTTACAGGATGTTCCATGCAGGAACAGCAGCTGTTCTTCAGAGAGGTTTGATCTGCTCCACTCTGCTGCTCCTCGTCCCTCTTCCCACTGATCTGCTGGGTCTGACGTGGTTATACACCATCAACTGCTGGTGCTACTGGATTGATCCTCAGCGGCTGCCAGCATTGCTCTGGGATCAGTATCTACCCATGGATCAGTTTTAATTTTGTATCTGAGCATCGATTGGATCTATTTCTGACCAATGAAGGAAGTTGAACATGTTTGTTGCTGACGTACGGCGCTGTTTACCCTCTGGTCTGTTACACAAGCTCTCAGCTGTATGTTTGGATCTTCTGTTTTGCTAAAACTGCTCCTCAGAGCCTAAGGGGTTTTGTTTGATGGCCAGAACCGTTTAAAAAGTATTAGGTTAACCGTGAAAGACTAAAAACATGACAACAGAACTGCTGATTAAACGGGTTTGGGCCTCCTCTGTTTGGAGGTTTATGTCAGAGCTGAGCTCCTGCAGATGCATCCGCTCCTTTTAAGGGGGTTAGACCTGTTTTTTGATGATGCTGTTATGGGTTATTATCTGCAATGATTCTCATGATTAGATATCTTCTAACTCTGGCTTCAAATGTCAGCAATGTCCTGAAGGAACAGCTGAACTTTATTCTGTTTAACAGGGATTCAGTGAGAGAAAAGCCCTCAGGTTATTGCAGCTTTTTAAAGATTTTCACTTTCACTTTATAAGTATAGAACATTTTGCATGATGGTTTTTTTTTATCATAGACTTCTTTCAGCTCTCCTGTCTGTGCATCATGTAAGTACTGCTGCAGCTACCCTCATTATCTGCTTCTCACTCATCCTTGTCTTCTTTTGCAGGAACCTCTCGTAAAGAGATCACGGAGCACTGGGAGTGGCTAGAACACAACCTGCTGCAGACACTGTCTATATTCGAGAACGAGAACGACATCACCACCTTTGTCAAGGGGAAGGTGCAGGTAGGTCACCTGCCTCGAGCTGAAGGCGTCTTTGTGTGAAACCACTGGAAATGTGGATCTTTAAATGTGGTGCGTTTGTTTACTGGGCATAAAGTTCAGACTGAGGACAACTCCCAGGGATTGTTGCCTTAGTGGGTCTGAACATACTCTGGGTGTCAGGGTATTTCCTGTACTCGTCTTTTCCCGCTTCATCTGGGACCAGGCTGCAGGGGTAGCAGTCTCAATAGAAACTCCCAGACTTCCTTCTCCGCAGACACCTCCTCCAGCCTTAGGTGCTTCCAGGCCAGCCAAGAGATATAGTTCCTAAAGGCCTCATAATGATGGGACGTGCCTTGAACACCTCCCGAGAGAGGCGTCCAGGGGCATCTGAGGACGATGTCCGAGAGACCCCAGCTGACTCCTTTTGATGTGGAGGAGAAGCTGCTCTACTCCGAACCCTTCCTGAATGACCAAGCTCCTCACCCTATCTCTAAGGGAGAGCACAGCCACTCTGTGGAGAAATCAAATTTTGGCCACTTGTATCCAGGATCTCATGCTTTCAGTCATGATCCAGATTTGATGACCATAGGTGAGGGGAGGAATGTAGCCTGACCAGTAAATCGAGAGCTTTGCCTTTTTGCTGAGCTCTATCTTCCCCACAACAGACTGGTGCAGCATCCGCAATATAGCAGCAGTTGACCAATCCGTCTATGGATCTCCCGCTCTATTTCCCCTCACTCGTGAGCAGGACCCCAAGATACTTAAACTTTTACACTTGAGGCAGGGACTCTCTTCTAACCTCCTCCACCTTTCCGGTCGAGAACCATGGTCTCGGACTTGAAGGAGCTGATTCTCATCCTGGCCGCTTCACACTCAGCTGCGAACTGCTGCAGTTCATCCTGTAGGTCTTGCCAGGAGCGAGCCAGCAGAACCAGGTCATCCGCTAAAAGCAGGGACAAGTTCCGGTCCCCAAACCAGACCCCTCCAGTCATTGGCAACGCCTAGAAATCCTGTCCAAAAGGTTATAAACAGGGCCGCAGACAGAGGGAAGCCCTGGCGAAGTCCAACATGCACCAGGAAGAAGTCCAACTTAAGGCTGGCAATGTGGACCAGGCTCCTGCTCCGCTTGTACAGATCAGATGGCCCCTAGTTAAGACCCCCCCCGAAGGTCACAAGATACGACTACAAAGTGGATCATCGACCTGTTAGTGCCAGTTGCACCGTAGGACATCCTTTTGCCTGAACATGGTGTTCATTATGGACAATCTGCACAGAAGTCAATAAAACAGCAGGTTCAGAGCTTTGGGTCAGTTCCTCCCGATTGCGCCACGCCAGGTGTCATTGTCGTGTCCCACACAAGCATTTAAATCCCCCAGCAGAATGGAATCAAAATCAAAAATAATTTTTCCTCTAGAAAAAAAAGTTTCATCTAAAAACAAAAGTTAATGTCAGTCACTTTGTGTTCCTGGGTTTGTAACTGAGCAGCTCCTCACCTCACAGTTTGTTGTTGTCTGTTCCAGGGTATCATCGCCGAGTACAACAAGAACCATGACGTCAAGGAGGACGACGACACTGACAAGTTTAAGGAGGCGAGCTCCAAGTTTCGGAAACTGTTTGTGATGCCAGAGGAGGAGAAGCTGGTCAATTATTACTCCTGCAGCTACTGGAAGGGGAAGGTTCCTCGGCAGGGATGGCTCTACCTTAGCATCAACCACCTCTGCTTCTACTCATACTTACTGGGAAAAGAAGGTGCCTGACCCCTCCTCCTTCCTGCACACACAACACGTCTCCAGTGCTGGGAACATTTTAAGCTTATTGATGAGTCAGTCAATGTCAATAACAGCAGATGTGATTTCACTGAACGAACAGATCTGGTTTATTTATAGAACTTAAAATCCAGTTAAATGGTCAGATTCCAGTTCTGTCCCAGTCATCCCAGTTCATTTACGGTCAGATTCAGTTTATAACAATATATATAAAAGTTAAATATTACCAAAGGAAACCCGACCCCTCACTCTGAGCACCTGTATCGGAACCAGAACAAGGCTCAGCATGAGCGACCATGACTCAGGGGTACTTTCTATGCTTAATCACTAATAAAGCACTGCTAGCTAAAAACATACAGCTGGTGTCAACTGGCAGTCTAACCCACTAAGATTTGGCGAGGGGGTGGGGGGTTTCGAAAGGTTTAATCAAAGTGACCCTTCGTTTTTTTACGATTGTTAATAAAACTGAAACCTGTCAATTTCTGTCTGTCACTCTCAGCCAAGCTAGTGGTTCGCTGGGCTGACATCACGCAGCTGGAGAAGAGTGCCACCCTCCTCCTCCCTGATGTCATCAAGGTGAGCACGCGCACCAATGAGCACGTGTTCTCCGTCTTCCTAAACATCAATGAGACCTTCAAGCTGGCAGAGCAACTGGCCAACATTGCCATGCGGCGGCTGCTGGACAACAAAGGCTTCGAGCTGGACCGATCTCTGCCCAAGCTAAAGAAGAAGTCACCCAAGAAGGTTTCAGCTCTGAAGAGGTAAGAAACATCCAGCTGAATGGCATTAGCATCTGATGATGAGCTGAAACCATTCACAGGAATGCAGCTATTTGTTCATTTAGTCCTGAAGGAAAGTAATTCTGAGTAGAAGTAATGAGCCCAAGTAAGGGTAATACTTCCAATTAGAGGTACTAACCATTATTAGTAGTAAGTGAGGGTAGTAGTGGAGGTTTTCATGTTAGCATTTCTTCGCATGTTGTTCTGGTCCGTTGATGTTCTGACCTGGTTCTGCAGTGTTTATCTTCATCCTTTCTGTCCTTGAAACAGAACAGAAGGTTTTATTTTCTTGCAGAATTTCGCATTTAAATGTGGTAGAAGATGAGATTGTTGCATCTTTCAGGGATCTGGATGCAAGAGCAAAGAGCGAGCGCTACCGGGCTCTCTTTCGTCTGCCCAAAGATGAAAAGTTGGATGGACACACAGACTGCACGCTGTGGACTCCCTTCAACAAGATGCACATCCTGGGCCAGATGTTTGTGTCCACCAACTACATCTGCTTCACTAGCAAGGAGGAGACACTATGCAGCCTCATTATCCCGCTGCGGGAGGTGAGCTGCTTCTGATCACTAAGATAGTTTGCATGGTTTAGTTTAGTTGAAGACTTTGCTACGACAGAAATGAAATATGTTTAGTTTTCATACATTGCTTTGATTCACCTGATGTGTCCAGGTGACCATTGTGGAGAAGGCAGACAGCTCAAACGTGCTGCCCAGTCCGCTCTCCATCAGCACCAAGAATCGCATGACTTTCCTGTTTGCCAACCTGAAGGACAGAGACTTCCTGGTGCAGAGGATCTCCGACTTCCTGCAGCAAACCACCTCCAAGATTTACCTGGAGAGGGAGCTGAACAGCTCGGATGACGAGGTGAGAGCAGCTCCTTCCTTCTATGCTCAGACAACCTCTGATGCGGAGCAAGAGATGTTTTAGGATGATGTTTGCTTTTTCGGTCTGAAGGATATTGGTATAGAGGAGGATGTAACATCATTTATCTTTTCCTCAGGTTAAGTGACCCAGAAAGTTGTGTCAATGACCATTTCTAGAGCAAACAGCTTAACGAGCCTCTCTTAGCTAACATCATTAGCCTGGCGTAGATATAATGATGTTAGCCAATGTTTCTGTTTTCCTTTTACCCTCTTTTTAAAGTATAGAGAGAGTGATATACATGTGAGCCGATAGTTTGGTTTCATATTAGGGTTTGTTTCATTGGTATCGGTCGGTACCCACCTGTATTCACTGATTCTTTAGCAGCCATGCCTGGATGTCAGCTGAAGCTCCTGCTTTGCTGCTCCTCCATCCGCTAACATTGTTAATGTTTATTTTGTTAGTAAAGTTTTCTTTTTGGATAATAGAGTCTGGTGTAACACTGTCATATTTGAAATGCAATTGTTTCTCCATAGGTTTCCTCCCATCACGGCTCCCTGCTCTCCTGCAGCCCTCAGCAGAGTCTGGCTTCAGAGGTGGAGCGCACCTTCAACCTGAACCACAGCAGCGTTCCCACGGCCTCAGAAGCCCTGATGACCATGTACCGCCGCCGCTCCCCAGAGGAGTTTAATCCCAAACTAGTGAGTGGCTTTGCTGGAAGACCAGGGATCTCCTCTGTTCTGCTCTGACTCCTACTGCTTCCATGTCCTCCCAGGCGAAGGAGTTCTTGAAGGAGCAGGCGTGGAAGAACCACTTCACGGAGTACGGAGAGGGGGTGTGCATGTACCGCACGGAGAAGACAAAGGAGCTGGTCCTCAAAGGCATCCCAGAGAGCATGAGAGGAGAGCTGTGGCTGCTTTTTTCAGGTGAGCAAACGTCTCACCTTCATTCATTTTTAAGACTCAATGAAAAAAAAACACCTTATAAATATATAAATGTCATATTTACAAGCCACTGAAAAGTTCCCTCCTCAACTAAACAAAAGGGAATAAACTAGATTTAAGTAGTGATGCTGCAGCTTTTAAGACATCTAAACTGGATTACAAATAAATACAGAATTTGGAACCTTTTAAAATGAGTGTTCTGAAAAATTTTTAGCTTCTGAATTTATGAGCCTCAGTGAAGCTTACATGTCATGCATGAGGCTGGGCTAAAATGGCCTAAAACAAAAAATGGGTCTGAATCAGCCTAAAGACAACCAGAAGTGGACCAGTACTCTCCCAGTATGATTCCCAATATGGACACTAGTTTCCACTGAGAGGATGAACTCTGTCACATTATGTGTTTTGATATTACTATTTGTTTTACTTAAGATTAATGTGAAATATTTAAATCTTAGAACAAGAAAGAAGCTACTTCTTTTTCTTCTTCTTTGTCTCTGTATTCTTCTTGTCTGAACGTGGCTTGTTTTTTGGCCAGATTTGGTCCACTAACATGGAGATCTGACTTCGTCAGATCAGCGATAGCTCGTCATGCAAGGCTCAAGAGAAATGAGGGGAAGCTGCAGCTTCTTTCAGCTCCTGTTTGTTTTATTGACAGGAGCCATCAACGAGATGGCAACCCACCCTGGATACTACGAAGACCTGGTGGAGAAGTCCATGGGGAAGTACAACCTGGCCACAGAGGAGATTGAGCGGGATCTGCACCGTTCGCTGCCGGAGCATCCGGCCTTCCAGAACGAGATGGGCATTGCCGCGCTGCGAAGGGTCCTAACAGCCTACGCCTTCAGGAATCCCAACATTGGATACTGTCAGGTGAGACACTCCTCCACATTCGGCAGCAGCTCATCTTCCATCCTGCTAATGAACGCCTATGTTTTCCCGCCCCAACATCAGGCCATGAACATCGTGACGTCAGTGCTGCTGCTTTATGCTAAAGAAGAAGAAGCTTTCTGGCTCCTGGTTGCTCTCTGTGAGCGGATGCTGCCTGACTACTACAACACCAGGGTCGTAGGTCAGTCTGAGCAGGTGCTCTCAGAGGTTAGCATCTTCTGTTTGTGCAGAGTTGATTATGATCTTCCTCCACCTTCAGGGGCCCTTGTTGATCAGGGGGTGTTCGAGGAGCTCGCCCGCGAGTACGTCCCCCAGCTTTACGACTGCATGCAGGACCTGGGGGTTATATCCACAATCTCGCTCTCCTGGTTCCTCACCCTCTTCCTCTCCGTCATGCCGTTTGAGAGTGCCGTGGTGGTGGTGGACTGCTTCTTCTATGACGGCATCAAGGTCATCTTTCAACTGGCGTTGTCTGTGCTGCACGCTAACATCCATCAGCTGCTGGGCTGCAAGGATGACGGAGAAGCCATGACTGTTCTGGGCAGGTGAGGAAGAGGAGGACTAGAAGGAATTAGAGATCTGTTTGTTAAGTTAAACTGGTCTGTTTTTTCCTGGGGAAAGTAGGGGTCTTTGAGAAAAGCTGTTGGGTTCAGAAAACTGGTTCCAGATACAGTGAGAAGTCAAAGGAGATTTTGATTGTAGGAAATTAGCTCTTTCAACTATTCACCCTTCAGAAAACAAATGAACCAAAGCTGGCAGTTGTTTACTGACTTTCTCTGGTAGAACTGACCTAGTAAAACTGTCTTTCTTTTGTAGAACTGATATTCTCCTGTGGAACTATCGTTCTTTTGTAGAACTAATGTTCTTTGGTAGAACTGATGTTCTTCGGTAGATAAAACAAAACAAAAATTGAACTTTATTGACCTCTGCATTTAATCTATCCCCCTTGCGGAGCAGTGGGCTACCATCTTGGGGCACCTGGACTGCAATCAGGGGTTAAGGGTCTTGCTCAGAGACGAAGAGTGGCAGACTCGAACTCAGAACCTCGGGATCCCAAGCTCTATGCCCTAACCACTACAAGTTCTTCTACCAATTAACTTATTTTCTTTGGTAGAACTGACATTCTATGGTAAAACTGACATTGGAGAGGTTGCGGCCTAGAGGTTAGGCCATAGAGCTTGGAATCCTGAGTTTGAGCCCAACTCCCACAGACTGCCACTCTGGTTCTCTGAGTAAAAAGACCCTTAAACCCACACTGCTCCCTGGGTGCTGCACAATGACAGCCCACTGCCTAAGGGGATGGGTTAAATGCAGATCGAGTTCATTTCACTGCTCTGTACTTGTGACAGTGTAATGACAATAAAACCAATGTTCTTTGGTAGAACTGATATTTTTGGTAGAACTGATGTTTCTTGACTCAGACTTCAGCACTAAAAAGCAACAACTTCAGTAGAACGTTTAGTTGGATTTATTTCTCCAGCACTGACCTGGTCCTTGAGAGCCACTGTCCTGCTGGTTTTAATGGTTTCCTGCTCCAGCACAGCTGATTTTCTTTGATAGCTTATCATAAGGCCTTTGCTGAACTGCAACCCTAGAACCACCTCTAAACAATGCAGGACAGAGGACCTCAAGGACCAACATTTGGCATCCCTGAGCTCAGCAGATTAAAGGAAAACCAAGTGATTGCTTCCATTCATTGACTCTGTAGCAATCCCTCACACTGAGCACACATGGACATTGGTTCTGTGCTGTTCTGCAGAAACTTCTGCTGCACCACCTGATGCACAGGAACTAGGTTCTGAAGTGGTTCTGTGTTTCTAGATGTTGGACTCCGTTGATATATGGTCCATTCTTGGTAGATTATTCCTTCATCAGTGAGCAGTTGAACAGCTGTTTGATCATAGCTTTGGTCTGCCTGCAGGTACCTGGACAGTGTGACTAATAAGGACAGCACCCTGCCTCCCATTCCCCACCTCCACTCTCTGCTCACCGATAACGGAGAACCACACCCCGAGGTGGACATTTTCAGGCTGGTCCGCAGCTCCTACGAGGTACTTGATTCAACTGACCAACCTCCATGTCATCCAGTGTTGCTCTCCTCTAGTTAGACACTTCTGTTGATGGAACAACGTCCAACATTCATCTAGATGTTCTGACGTAATTTTATTAATGACACACTGTTCTAAACCTTCATGTCTGTTTCTCTTCAATGTTTGCAGAAGTTTGGGTTCATCCGGGCCGACGTGATCGAACAGATGCGTTTCAAGCAGAGGCTGAGGGTCATTCAGACCATTGAAGACACCACCAAACGTAACGTGGTAAGGAGGTCCTCAGATGTTACCACACAGCTCCCTACATACTGCTTGTGAGGAACCAAACCATTTCTTGGTTCTTAAGGGCAGAAACTGTTTTCTTCCAGGTTCGGACCATAGTAACAGAGACGGCTTTTAGCATCGACGAGCTGGAGGAGCTTTATGTGCTTTTCAAGGTCAGTCTTACCTTCTCCTGTGGACAGTAAACATGATATCAAAGGTTGATGATGAGGGAAATCCCCTATCTGCTCATTGCAAACTATAGTTATGAATTAAAAACTCATGGTGATATAGACATTCATATTCTTCGAATAATAACACAGTGCACAGAATGTAGTAATGCTTCAGATACTGAACATTAAACAAAGAATGTTCTCACCGATTTCTTAGTCTAAATTTGTACAGATGTCAATGAACACCTCAGCACTGTGGTTGGCATGGGAACCTGATTGTAAGACATCAAAGCACTTACTGTTAAGTAGGCATTTAACTGTTGAAACACAACTTTTTTCAATGATCTTACTGATGAATGGGAGGTTTGAGAGGTTCTGCAGGTTTAAAATAATCATAGAGAACGAGAGGCTTTCAGGAGATACCAGGAAAGCGAAATGTTTAGTTCCTTTTTGGTCCCAAACCAGGTGGTTCTTACCCCTAGATTTCAATGGAACAGCTACCAGAACCTGCTGCTGGTCCAGTAGCTGAACCTGGGTCAATTTTTGTATCTGCAAATTTTTTCAAGGTCTTTGGACCTGCTAACCTGTAGCCATAGTTGCTGTAGTAAACCCTCATAGGAACCTCCCACCCAGAACCGAGCCGGACCCACTGCCTCATCTGCTACCTTTCTCTTTCAGGCAGAGCACCTGACCAGCTACTATTGGGGTAGCAGCAATAACCCCACTGAGCGCCACGACCCGAGCCTACCGTACCTGGAGCAGTACCGGATCAACGTGGAACAGTTTAAAGGCCTGTTCAGCCTGCTGTTCCCCTGGTCCAACGGAAACCACTCCGACCCGCTTGCCGCTCGTTTCTTTCGCCTCCTTGACCAGAACGGAGATGCTCTCATCAACTTCCGGGACTTCATCAATGGCCTGGGTAAGCGGGTGGGAGTTGTGGAGGTATTGCTTCCAAGGGTGGACGGTCTGGTTGGCTGCTAACTCTCTGCTGTGTCTGTAGGTGTTCTATGTCATGGGGATCTGACGGAGAAGCTGAAGCTCCTCTACAAGATGCACGTGTTACCTGGTGAGTCCATCAGAGACCAAAAATTGGAACCAGAGAGAGACTGTTCCATTTGGAGAAGTTGTTTATGAGTCTCGGAAATGCAGCAGAACGTCCCTCTTTATTAGGTTTTGCCTTTTTTCTCACAGAAATCCTCCATGAGCAGGAAGAGCCAGACTCGGCCTTTGAAGCCACACAGTACTTCTTTGAAGACATCACCCCAGAAACATCCATCAGTAAGTCCCCCCCCCACCTTGTCCTGCAGGGTTAGAGTTTTATGGTGCTGCTGGTGAATAGAACTGGACTCAGTACTTGTAAACCATTTAGCCACTGACTGAGAAGAACCACAAGGGTTTATTTGTGCAGGCCTGATAGCAACATGGTCTGCAGTGATTCTGCTTAAACCAACCCTGTCGTTTCTCTCCAAAAAAGATATGTGCAGCTGAGCTTTTTATGGGTTGATTCTCGGAGCTGATATTGTTTTGTCTTCTTCCACTTACATGATAAAATGACAGAATGAGAACCAATGTTTGACCAGTCTCAATTTAAACAAAGGCAAACCTTTATTAGGGCTGCAATGCGTGTCATGGTGGTGACCCTTTGCTATTATTAAGTCTGACTTGTTCCCAGTGCATGTTAGACTCTGACTGGACTTCCCTTTGTCCCAAAATCTCAGCTGACCGATGCATTGTCTACCTCTACTTTACGCCCAATGAACCTTTTCCATTTCTATGGTTTATGTCATAAACAAAGAGTGATTTCTTCAACATCTCTGCAAAAATCTGACTGCAGCCACAGCTTTGAACATTTTAGCTAAACAAATCCATCATAGTTTGAACTATAACTTTGGATCTCAGCTGAATTTAGTTCTACTAGTTTTACTAGACTTTTACTACGTAGGCTACTTTCACATAAAATGATTTTGCTGTGGTCTGAATGAATGTTAGAGGTTGTTGTCCCGCTGTTCGAGTTGTTTTTGATTCTTGACACAACCATTTTCAATCACAATTTCAACGCACAAAATCCAGAAACCTTTTTTTATATTTTCCATTTTCGTCAATGCAGGAAATTATGATTTTTTTTGTCCAGCAGACTTACAACCTTGCACAAACGGTTCATACAGATATCAGAGCTGAAGGAGCTTCTTTATATTCATATTTACATTTCTTCATTAATTTTTTTATTCTCTTAGGTCGACATTCAAAGGGCAGAGGCGAAAAGGATGATGGCTTTGTCAGAGTTACATTCAAGACTGAAAAAGGTGAGGATGCTTTCTAAACACTTAAGAGACAAATAAGACTAATTGTGTGTATGATCCTGTGCTAGCTGTTCTTCATGGTTGCTGGGACATTGAGAACATCTCCAGAGCTCCCTTGTGCCTGGAGATGAAAGAGGGAAATGGGCACAGTGGTGGACCATGAGTCAGAAACATCCCTGGGTTACAGGATCCGATGTTTGAGTAAACACAGCAGGGAGGAACCTTAATGGTTCTATGTCAAAAGATGAATGTGTTTTCATGTAAAATGTGCGAACTAAAGGCACGACCTCGTCACGATAATGACTGAGCTGAGCTGGTGTTGTTATCCAATCTGAAATGCCACTGGGAGAAGAAGAATCCCCCAGGAAGCCTGATCTATTTGTAACCACCAGATCTTTCAATCCATATTAGTTATGTTCACAGGAAATGTATTCAGTCTAAAAAAAAAAAGAAAAGAAAACTAAAATAATTGGATTGTACCATTTTCATTGACACGATGATAGGAATGGTTGATGAGAGCATAAATATGTCATGGAAACATGCTGATGAGAGTATTCTGACAGGATCAAACCTCTCAACTAGAAATCCGTCACCTTGACAAAGCATGGAAATGGTCAGCATGGTCAGTCTGCTCTGAATAACCTGACACTAACAAGCATTTACATGCTTCCCTCGGTGGGATTTTCAGTTGGTATAAACCAGTCCTCAGTCGGTTGTAATATCATTACCATCCTGCAGGACTCTGACTAGAATATTCTGACCAGTATGTTTATCCACTTTTTCAATCTGATTGGCTGCTCTTTTCGATTACTGTCTCCATGGAAACATAGCTGCTGGCCTTAGTTTAGCAGAAACGTTTTGGGTGGAGCTAAAGAAGTTAGTTTGAGCAAGACTGTCTACAAACCCATCCCAGTTAAAGAGGTTCTGACAGGAGCAATGGGCCAAGATACCAACAAACTATGGAAGGACACACAAAGTATCTCATTTGGTTTAAAAATCTTTTTTTTTTTTTTAGGAAAGTGTTGATAATCTCTAGAAGGCATCCTTGTATCTAGGTTTTAAGTCGTGCTTTTATTGTGAAAAACCCAAACCTTTAATTTCATTTATGAACAATGGATTAATTTCAGTACATTCTTCTCGATGTTTTCACAGTGAAGAAACTGAGTACTCCTGATTACCGTCACTACCTGAAGCTGTGGAACGAGGAGACCAAACCTAAACAAGAAAGTACGAAGGACCTCCCAAAGCTGAACCAGGTAAGACTGGTAGGGAGTCATGGCTTTATGTGAGGAGCGGATCAGTAAGTAACTATCTTTATGTCTCCACCTGTCAGAGTCAGTTCATTGAGCTCTGTAAGACCCTCTACAGCATGTTTAGCGAGGACATTGCTGAGCAGGAGCTCTACCACGCCACTGCCACCGTCACCAGTCTGTTGCTGGAAATGGGAGAAGTGGGGAAGCTCCTTTCCTCATGCAGCAAGAAGGATGCCATGCAGGAGGGAAAGTCCCACTCCAGCTCCAGAGACTTACTGGATCTTAAAACCACCGAGGATGCTTTGGATTTGGGAGACATTTTTATCCCAGCAGGTCTGGAGGACAAATCCAGCTCCCGTGAAGAGGACAAAGTGCATGATGCTAGTGAGGACCTTCCACCAATGCAGGACATCAAGCTAGAAGACTCGTCCCTTAAGGAGGCGGGAACATCATCGGCCATGCTCATCTCTGACGATGACACCAAGGACGACACGTCGATGTCCTCATACTCTGTTCTGAGCGCCGGCTCCCACGAGCTGGACGAGAAGCTGCAGTGCGAGGACATCGCTGAAGACACGGTTCTGGTGCGCAGCGACAACCGGCCTGAACGGAGCAGCCATCTTGGCGACCGGAGGCTGCACCACAGCACCAGCATCGACAAAGACTGGGCCATCACCTTTGAGCAGTTTCTGGCCTCCGTCCTCACTGAGCAGGCTCTGGTGCAGTACTTTGAGCAGCCAGTGGACGTGGCGTCTCGAATCACAAATGCCAAGAATGTGCAGAAGGTGGGGCGCCCCCGGCTGTCCACCAGTGACTATGAGATCTCTCTGTCCGGCTGAAGTGGTTCTGAAGGGATTCAGTCAACCTCTATAGGCTTGTGGAGGAAATTGTACACGTGTTTATTTTAAAGAATGTGATCTAAACTGCTTCTAATAATGTATTTTACCAGAACCTGAAAGCCTGTTATATAAATCACTAGATTTTGTCCGTAAAGAGAAAACTGGACCCCCCCTTTGTGGTTTACTGGGATGAAACCAGTGTGTAAAGTAGTTACAGTCCCTTTATACTAATCCAATACCTGTGTACTACTGGGCTGTGTAGATGTGAATGTCCACACATATAGTGTCATTTCTAAAAAGTCTGACACCACCTCTGCTTTGCTTCCAAGCAGCTAGATCTTCTGTCACTGATTTTCCAGAAAGTTCTGCTCCTTGGAATCTAAAGAAATGAGGAATGGCTCCAAACTTTTGCACAGTTCTCCACATTAGGGTTTAAAATTAAATTTGTATGATGGTCACATCTGGTCAAACTGTTGCTTTCTTTAGTAGCAGTTCTGATTGCTGCTATTGCTTTACAAAGCTTAAGTCTGATGGTTTTTATTCCTGTCTGGCTGTGTGAACATACTGTAATGCATTCCGTCACTTTAGTAGATGATTTATTTACTTGAGTTCATGTTGACAGAAAACCAAACTGCACAACTACAAGAACAATATTATGTTCAACTGCTGAAAGGTTTTAGTTAATCAGAGCGAAGAATTTCTGTCAGTATTATTACACTAAAATATGCTGAAGTGCCGAACCTCCCTGATTCACTGGATGCGGCGACCCACCTCTGTTTGCCCTTTTTATTTATGCTTTTTTTTTTCTGTTTATCCATGATGTTTTTTTTATTTTTACTCTTGAGTTTTTTTACATGAGTTTTTAAGTTTTTTTTTACTGTTGATATGTTGTGTTTATTTAACCAGATGCTTCTGCTCTGGATTATGGTGCCTGTGTATCACTCATCTAATTAAAATCTGTGTCATTGATCCACAGTGCTGCCTCCTGCTTTTTACTCAGACCTCACAGTCTGCATAGTGTGGTATTACTGCCATCTGGTGGCAGAACTTTTTGTTTAAGCAGAAAATCTGCTGGGTCGTCTGTTTTCTTCCAGTTACTGTATAACGAAATTGGTTCAATCGTTGATTCAGGAATAAAAAGAAAATTTAGAAAATAGAATAAAAAAAAATGCAATTCAGCTATGAAACCATCTTAGACCTTCTCACTGACCTTAATCAAAATGGGGTTTAATGGTAACCTTACTGTATTCTCAGATTTAATATTTTCAAAAAATTTTTTTTTTTTTTTTTTTTTTTGCTGGAGAAGATTTTCAGTTATCCAGTAAAAAGTAGTAAAGTAAAAAAAAAACAAAAAAAAAAAAACAACTGGACTGTGTTTTCCAAGTTTGAAGACATTTCACTTCCCATCCAGAAAGCTTTCTCAATTCAAAATGTCTGAAGTAGTGCTTGAGTTCTAGGCTTATAGAGTGGCCCAAACAAAAGCCTTTTTATGGCTTAGAGAACAAGCACATTTTTTTCAGTTCAGTTAAAAAAATTTTGCAAATTGCATTTTTTGTTAAAAACCAGGCTGCTTTCCTGTGATACCAAGTACCATTTTTATCTGTGAGGGACACACTCGGTCTACTTTTAAGATAAGACTTTTTGATCAAGTTTATAGTAAGAGTGGCTCGGGTTATCCTGAACTATCTCCATAGTTGCTGCAATAGGCTTAGACTGCTGGAGGAGATAGGGACCCCTTTTTCTTTATTCTGCTTCATTCTATCTCTATTCTCCAACCATAGAATTTTCTAGTACAATCTTTAACGTTATGGGCTCCCTGCTTTTTCTCATAATAGCCTCGCCTGTTCCTGTTTGGCTGTGACTCCATCCTGGAGGGAAATATCAGCTGTGCCGCTGCCAGAGATGGCAAAAGTACTCACTTTCCGTACTTGAGTAAAAGTACAGATACTTGTGTTAAAAAATACTCTGGTAAAAGTGGAAGTACTGATTAAACTTCTTTACTCAAGTAAAAGTGCTAGGAAACTGGAGAGAAAATATCGCTCCACAGGCCTGCGGGAGTCCTTCCTAGTCTGGAAAAATGGTTTACTGCTGTATAAGAGGACCCTTTGTAAAGCAAGAGCAGCATACTTCTCCTCATTAATAGAGGAGAATAAGAATACCGATAATCCTAGATTTCTTTTTAATACAGTTGCCAAACTCACCCAGAGCCATAGCTCTGTTGAACCGTCCATTCCACCTGCTCTTAGCAGCAATGATTTTATGGGATTCTTTATAAATAAGATTGATCTTATTAAAAATAAGATCATAAGCACTCCTCTATCCGCGATTGTACCTGAGGTAGTCATGGAATCTGAACCGGGTTTAGACTGCTTTGATCCAGTTTAACTTTCTGAATTAGCAAAATTATTGTCTTCATCTAAGCCTTCAACTTGTATGTTAGATCCAGTTCCAACCAGGTTATTTAAGGAGGTATTCCCTTTGATCTCCTCCTCCATTTTAGATGTGATTAATCTATCTCTGTTACAGGGATATGTACCTAAAGCTTTTAAGGTTGCTGTAATTAAACCTCTGCTTAAGAAACCGTCTCTTGACCCAGATGACTTGGTCAGTTATAGACCTATATCCAATCTTCCTTTCTTATCCAAAATTCTTGAGAAAGTAGTTGCCAAACAAGTGTGCGGTCACTTCCACCATAATGAACTTTTTGAAGAGTTTCAGTCTGGCTTTAGAGCTCATCATAGCACTGAAACAGCTCTGGTGAAAGTCACTAATGATATTCTCATGGCCTCAGATAATGGACTTGTATCTGTGCTCGTCCTGTTGGATCTTAGTGCTGCATTTGATACAGTTGACCATAATATTCTTTTAGAAAGACTTGAATATTTTGTTGGAATTAAAGGAACAGCACTAGACTGGTTTAAATCGTATCTATCTGATCGAATTCAGTTTGTTCATGTTAATGATAGATCTTCAACACGCTCAAAGGTTACCTGTGGAGTACCACAGGGATCAGTGCTAGGACCAATTCTCTTTACTTTATACATGCTCCCAATTGGTAGAATTATTAGACAGCATGGGATTAATTTCCACTGTTATGCTGATGATACCCAGCTATATCTGTCTATAAATCCAGATGAAGCTAACCCATTACATAGATTACAGGCATGTCTTGAAGACATAAAAACCTGGATGACTCTTAACTTTCTGCTTCTGAATGCAGACAAAACAGAAGTTATAGTCTTTGGACCAGAGTCTCTGAAAAAGAAACTGATTAGCCAGTCACTTCATTTGGATGGGATTAAACTGATTTCAGATAATAAAGTAAAAGATCTTGGTGTTATGTTTGATCAGGACCTGTCATTTAAATCCCATATCAAAGAGGTTTCTAGAATTTCCTTCTTTCATCTGAGGAACATTGCAAAAATTAGAAATCTCCTGTCCAGGGGTGATGCTGAGAAACTAGTCCATGCATTTGTTACTTCAAGGCTGGACTATTGTAATTCTTTACTATCAGGAAGTCCACAAACTGTAGTTAAAAGCCTTCAGCTGATCCAAAATGCTGCAGCCAGAGTTCTAATGAAAATTAAAAAGAGAGATCATATCTCGCCTATCCTGGCTTCTCTTCATTAGCTTCCTGTTAAATCCAGAATAGAATTTAAAATCCTCCTTCTCACATATAAAGCCTTAAATGGCCAAGCTCCATCTTATATCAGAGATCTGATTGTTCCTTATGTTCCTAACAGAGCACTTCGCTCTCAATCTGCAGGTTTACTAGTGGTTCCTAGAATTTCTAAAAGTAGAATGGGAGGCAGATCTTTTAGTTATCAGGCTCCTCTCCTGTGGAACCAACTACCAGTTTTAGTCCGTGAGGCAGACACCCTGTCTACTTTTAAGGCTAAGCTTAAACTTTCATTTTTGATAAAGCTTATAGTTAGAGTGGCTCAGGTTATCCTGAGCTATCTCTATAGTTATGCTGCTATAGGCTTAGACTGTTGGAGGACATAGGGACCCCCATTTCATCATTCTGCTTCATTCTCTCTCTGTTCTCCTATTCTGCAGAATCTATTAGTTCAATCTCTAACCTTCAGCTCTCTCTGCTTTTCCTCAGAGTAGCTTTGCCTCGTCTGTTCCTGTTTGGCTGTGACGTCATCCTGGAAAGAAACATCAGCTGTGCTGCTTCCATCAACACCCTTGTTTATAGATGTTGGAGATCGGCCTGTTTTCCAGTGTGGTCCTGTGACTGGCTTGATGTGCTCTCTTCATCCTCTGGCATGGGAGCTGGCTCGGAGCTCCTCTGCCCGGCTGTGTGTTTCCTGGACGGGGCCGCCTTTTACAGCTGCTTGTTATGTCTTTGCTTCCGTCTCCTTGAACCCCAGTCGGCCTCAGCAGATGGCCGCTCACACTGAGCCTGGTTCTGCTGGAGGTTTCTTCCTGTTAAAAGGGAGTTTTTCCTCTCCACTGTCGCTACAAGCATGCTTAGTGTGAGGGATTGTATTTGAGTCAATGAGTCGATGCAATCAACTCGTTTTCCTTAGATAGAAAACTTTGTATCGATTTGACTGTATGATCTGGTTGAACTGTAAAGTGCCTTGAGATGACATGTGTTGTGAATTTGGCGCTATATAAATAAACTGAATTGAATTGAATTAAAAGTAACAAAGTACAGGCTTGTAAATTTACTTAATGTATAAAAGTAAAAGTAGAAACCACTTTTTTCATGCCGTTGCCTACATTTTAAATGGATGTCTGCCAATAGGACTAGATCTCCGTTGTGTTCATTTTCAATCATCTCGTCGTCCATACTACTATGCTAACGCCACCGCCACCAAGCTGCAATGATTTGCCGCGAATGAATACCGCCGAATCTGTCGATTCATCTTGTAGTGGTGCGTCAAATGCAACGTAGATTCCCATCCAATTAGATGGAATTTGGTATTGATGACGTGAAAAATAATAACGGTAACTCCATTGAAATGATTCAAAACTAAAATAACGAGCCAATTTTTTTTAAATGTAAGGAGTAGAAAGTACAGATATTTGTGTAAAAATGTAAGGAGTAGAAGTAAAAAGTCGCCATAAAAATAAGTAGTAAAGTAAAAATATCAGGAAAATCTACTTGAGTACAGTAACGAAGTATTTGTACTTCGTTACTTCCCATCTCTGGCTGCTGCCATCAACACCTTTGTTCATAGATGTTGGAGATTGGCCTGTTTTTTTGTGTAGTCCTGTTTCTCTGACTGTGACTAGCTGTGTGCTGATTATTTATCATTTGACATGGGAGCTGGCTTGGAGCTTGTCTGCCTGGCTGTGGGATTCCTGGATGGGGTCGCCTTTTACAGTTGCTTTTTGTATCTCTTCTTCTTTCTGTATCTCTGCTTCTGTCTCCTTGAACCCCAGTCGGCCTCTGCAAATGGCTGCTCACACTGAGCCTGGTTCTGCTGGAGGTTTCTTCCTGTTAAAAGGAAGTTTTTCCTCTCCACTGTCACTACAAGCATACTTTGTGTGTGGGATTGCACTTTTATTGATGGCTTTGAACCAGTGGAAAGACACTGAAAGTTTTTTTTTTTTTTATGCTGTATACAATTCTTGTACTCTTACTTCATTGTGTTTGTTGTTGTCCTGAGAAAAAAGCAAAATGTGCCAACAAGTCTAGATTGTTGAGAACAAATAATTTTGGAACCATTTGCCAAGAGTTAATAGTCTCTGTTAAAGCTTGGACAAGTGTTACCCCACCTCTCGCCCAATGACTGCAGAAGACAGACCTCAGACACCCTCAGCAATGTCCTGCTGTGTCCTTTCAGGGAGTCACTCAGCCAGCTTTACTGCTGGTTGCTTCACTGCAAACAGACCTGATTTGTATGCGAGTCGTTTTGATGCCACATGTAGTTTAATCTGGGACAGACTGGGACCTGAGTTAACACCTCAAAGTCCACCAAACTAAAATCAATAATTAAAAACAAGAATATTTCTTAGAA